ATTTTTGAAAATCACAAAAATTCTGGATTCTCCACCATTTTGTTTCTTTCAATTATTAGATTTTCAAATGTTCCATTGTGTACTACAGTCCTTTATCTTTGAAATAACTCAAAGAAATCCAAATTCAATTGAATTTTCATGAAGCCTGAAGCAAAATAATAATAATCGTTTTTACGAGATTCGCACATTCACTCCATAACAAATTGCAAAGAAATGAGTGTATCTACTGGACTATTTGTTCGATTTCGATGTTCGAGTACTCATTCTCTTCAGAAATGTATAGCCTGAGATGACATCGGTACAGGTTGGTAAAAATCTGATTTTCTTTTTCTCCAGCGGTTTTTGTAAATGACAATACTTTGGTAGAATCCGCCATTTTGTTTTTGATCATTATGGAATTTTCAAATATTCCACTGTATACTATAGCCCTTTAGCTATGAAACGACGCCAAGAAATTCGAATTCGGTTGAGAAATGATGAAACCACGAGGAAAATAAAAACTTCCGGTTTTTTCGTGACCACCCGATATATCACAATGTGAGAAAAAAATTTGTCTATTATTGAGTCAACTAGAAATATGATTTTTTTGTGATTTATCGATATTTAATGAAAAGAAGGAAGAATGCATCTAATACAAGGGGAAAAAGAAGTCGAAAATTCGAACTTTTTTTCGAAATATCTCGATAGATAGTGATTTGTTCACATTATCATTGTCAAATTCGTGTTTCCAGACAAAAATACGTAAGTACCAGAAACAATTTTCGAAAAAAAAAACCCACCGCATGCTAAATGCAGTTTTACCGATTTATTAGTAACATGAACTTACTGCACTAGTCATATGATCTGCGAAATTCTGCATACTGCTCGCCATTTTGAGTCCACAATGTTTTCTATACGCGTTGTAACTCGGCAGACCATGGTCTCTACTTCTCTGGACATCCAGTGTTAGCGTATCGTAGCCGAAATTTTCATCGGTGAATGATTCATTGGGAAGCTGAAAATACCTGACATTATAAGTACAGTGCTCCTGAAAACTCCCCTCCCCTACACAACTTCAAAAACTTGGACAATTACAAAAAGTCGAGTAGTTAGGAGGACTAAAAAAAACGTCAGTCAGTTTGACAACTATCGAGAGACGGAGCTTGAATTTTGAATTTTAGTATTAACCGATTCAATATATCACAGCTTTGCGTTTTTTAAAAGCTAGTTGCCAATACTTCCATGAACACAAACAAAATTAGTATCATTGAATTGGTTTCTTCGATACCATTTAAAAGAGGTGTCGCTTGCCGTAGGGTTTTCCAATTAAAATTATTGGTCACAATGGCCTTGTGACGTTATCTTTGACAATTTCGTCATCTATCATCACAAGTAGGAAAGTTTAGGGCCTTGAGTATACAGTTTCTAAATTTCACTTATTTATGTATAATCGTTCCAAAGATAAGAGGGGAGGAGGGCCTTTTGAGAAGCACAGTATAGTTCGATAAATATGCAAATTTCATTACTTAAGATATGACCCAGGCATCAAATTGTATCAAAGTACACCTTCTACTTGCAGAAAACCCAGTAGTCGGTTTCATTAACGTATACACTTTAATAATTAATTGGTATGCTCTGTGGTATGAGTGGTGCCCGCGAGAGTCTCTCTTTCGAAAGTCTCGCATGGTCTCGTCTCGTTTTCGAGACAAGACTCGAGACGAGACTCGGGCAAGACGAGACGAAACTTTCATTGGTCTCGTCTCGAGTCTCGTGCAAGACTTCTCGTGTCTCGTGCGAGAGTCGCAGGTACATATTTCTGCGTGCCGACTAAAGACTTGAGAATTTCATTCATAATACGACATATTTAGAAAGAATTCAGACTATTCAGCACAGATAGACAAAACATTTCAATCATAAATACTTAAGTATACCGGCTACTTCAGTCCAGGCGGCGTATTGGCATTGTCTCCTATGGTACGACGCAACCTGAGAAAAATGTACGCCGAATCGCGGAAGACAATGTCCCACGATTTGGCAATGATACGCGCGACATTCTCTCCTGCTTTAGGACGCTATGTGCTGAATATTGAAGCGTCTGGATACAGTAGATTTTGTTACGAGTAGGAGGGGCAATATCTCCTGTTTTTTGTGTTGTTTGTTTCAGTTTTCAGTTTGGCAAACCGTCTTAACTTTGGCTCGTGTTTAAAGAGTGCATTGAAATTACTACGCTCCGAAGATCGAATTATCTTGGCTAAATTGGCATTGGGGAATGAAGCATCTGAAGATTTCTATATGGATATGGATGTACCAACAATTATAACTAGCAGCATCAGTGATAATTTCACTCAAAATATCGAACAAAGTATAAATATGCCAATGAATATCGGAGAAGAAAAATCAGTCGAAACCCAAAGAATAGGAATCACTGAAGGATCGTCTGATCTCCTGCACATACGTGAAGCGACTATTTTAAAATCGAATTTTGTTCGAATTTCAGATATTGCACTTAATAATCAAAATAGTGACTTGACCAAAGTAATGCATAAAATTAATCTCACACTAAGCCAATTAACAACTGCTACACAAGTGCAGTCATAGCTTTGCCATATGCAATCCAGGAGAACCGATTTTCACAACCGTGGACGGCAAATTAGAGTACAGCCGACATCGAAGTCCAGACGTAAAATTCGACCTGGACTGACATCTGGGGCGAAGAGGATTCAGTCAGGTATAGACCCTCGACAGAGATTAGAACCTGAAAAGGTAATCAGAAAGAAGAGGCACTTTATCGGCCAACGTAAATAAAAACAAACCGAATGCAAAATCTCACTAACTGTTCTTCATGTACACCAATGAAATAATAAATCAAGGAAACAGAACACGAAGTTTATTTCCATAGTAGATATTGCCACTCATAAAGCGAAAATTCTCGTGGCAAAATCTACTGTATTCAGACGCTTCAATATTCATCACGTAGCGTCCTAAAGCAGGAGAGAATGTCGCGCATATCATTGCCAAATCGTGGGACATTATCTTCCGCGATTCGGCATACATTTTTCTCAGGTTGTGTCGTACCATAGGAGACAATGCCAATACGCGTCCCGGCGGAAAGATTATTCTCAAGTGCTGCGTTAACTATAAGAAAACAGTTTTAACGACTGGGTCAGAAACAAAAACTTTTGCGATCGTGAAGGCTGATCTGACTGATAAAGGTTTTTCCGAAGGGTTTTTCACTTAGATACCTATTTCTTGAATGAGTAAAATAATGTTGGATTAAAGTTTTTGTTTTGTTTATTTGTTTAGATTTAGAATATATGTGTTACTTTTCATTTTATTTTTATAACTTTCGAATATATAATGCTGTTTTTTTTCTTGTTTAGATGTATGATGTGAGTATGTACCTATTAGGTACTCACTTTTCAATAAATGCTGTTATTTTTGTTGTAATTTCCTCTTCCTACTTCTACATTATACCAAAAAAGTAAGTGAAGGTAAATATCCCGTACTAGACTGAAACAAGATTATGCATGACGAAATTGCGATACATTTGCGAGACTCTCGTACTAGACGCGAGACAAGACGAGACTCTAAGCTGCGGTACGAGACTCGAGACAAGACTTCATATTTCATCGGCGAGACGAGACGAGACTTTATGAAAGTCTCGTCTCGTTGGTCTCGTGTGAATCACTAGCTCTGATCTTCCCCAGAGGTACTCTGTTTTCAGATAATTTTGATTATATTATAGTTTGAAATGATAGAAAACAATATTTATCATCACAACATACACTTATGAGTTGAATCTCATTGATAATCAATAACTCGTATCGTCTAAATCGCCTGTAGGCGAGTCAACCAATCACAGCTCTCATTCCCAGCAACATATAGCGGTGAGCGGAGTCTAGAAGAATACGGAAATATCGTTCAAAAGAAGGCTACTTTTCCGAGTTTTCACGAGAGAAATATAATAGTTATTTAACCAACTAGTGTATTAATGAGGACGATTAATGATCGAGATATTTTAACGTGCGAGCGAAAAGCGAGTGCGTTAATGTTCGAGATCATTAATCGCCTTTTAATATACAAGTTGGTTACAAAATTTTTCCGTCGACTATGTTTCTCATTTCTCCTGCAATGAAGAAAACTTGGTTCGCGAATTCATCATCCATCCGGAAACTGCTAAGAATCACCCAGTAGCTTTGTTACTGACATTAGTGTCGTTTGACATTATTTGTCGAAATGATCAACATAGGAAATAAATTCCTTCTCTTGGAAAACAGGGATTAAAATCGTGTATGAAACTTGGAAAGGCGAACCCGTTAACGGAAAATCGTCGATGAAATCCATATTTTCGATTTAAATGCAGATTCCGCTGGTTATAGCATAAACAATGAATGCACACGGTGTATGTTTCGTTGCCTATAAAACAATCGTGCATTAATAGACAAATCGTCCATTAATAGGGGTCATTAATGAACGATTTCATATACATTAAACTTAGTCGTTAATACGAGGTCGACGGAAATAGTTATTTATGTATCAAGGGCGTGAAATAGGCTTTTATGGACCGCAGCGTGTAAGTAATAGACCGAGCGATAGCGAGGGCTATTAACACGCCCGCCGGGCGGTAAAGTAGTCCGCGGGCGGTAAAGTGCCACTTTACGCCCGCAAACCCGGGCGGTAAAGTGCTACTTTACGCCCGGTCGTGCATAAAAAGTTTTAAAAGTTGGATGACTCAAGTAAGGAGATTTGATAAAACATATGCAGATTGCCAAATGAATAATATGTCAAACGATCAAACATTATTATCATTTTTATATGAGCCGTTGACCATTCATTACCTTTTGAGATCTGGCATCAACATTTCCAATGCTTTCACTCGCAAGTCCTCTGATCAGAGAATCAAAAACATCAACTTTTAGAATTATTCCGGGATTGTTGAAATGTCCTTTGTAATTTATAGAGGGTGAATCGGCGTTATTACGATCTTCATCTAATAATCTGAAACACAATAGAATACCTGCCTCTTTATTTAGGTGAGTTCATTTTTTTTCACTCAAAAAGCTGTTTTCTTTTGATATAATAATTGTTTTTATGAAATATTTGAAATTTGTGAAATTATTTCATTTTGTTTTCCATTCTTCAATCACACTGAAATGCTTTCAATTTTACTATCTGAATGTTTCCAATTACTGAAGTAGTTAAACAAGAGGGTTTCTACGGAAATTTGGCAGTTGGCCCACCTAATGGAAACCTATTACATTCATTATGACGTATAACGTTCAGTTCACTTAATAATTTTATTTAATTAAAAAAAGATAATCATACCGTATAGGATTTGAACTTTGGATCTCTGGGTTGGCAAGCCGACACGTTACCAAGTGGCTATGGGGGGTCCAATTTATCAACGTGCAAGTGTGGGTACGACTCAACTTGTCCCCCTGTTTTCGAGAGATATTTTGTGGGGGGCCATGAGTATGGATATTCGACATATGGATGGGTACTTATATGGATATTTGGGGGGGTTCATTTTGCTTCATTGGGCCAATATGAGCAATTTAAATAAATATATTAGGCTTATGAATGAGTTTCAGTAAATATTTCTATGTTCTACATAGATTTGATTTTACGGTACTGCTAGTGTCCTCACTCGGATGTGAGTGGAAACTGTTTGCTATGCTTACCTTCTCCTATTACAGAGGTCTTTTTGAAGAATCTACTCGTATGTGTTACGCTTCAACCTAATTCCGTGAGGTGTCGCTATTGATACTGTTTTCAATATTTAATACTTATGTTTTGCTAGCCTATACACTGTGCCTATGCGGCCGTTTCTTTGTGTTCCTAGAGTACCTAATTCCGCGAGGTATCGCTACTGATACTGTTTTCAATATATCTATTCTTCAAACCAACCTTTGATTTCACTGTACCGCTGGGGTACTCATTCGGACGTGAGTGGAAACTGTTTTCTGCGTCTGCCTTTGTTTTTGAAGAATCTATTCATATGGTTCACGCTTCAACCTAATCTCGCGAGGTGTCGCTACTGATACTGTTTTCAATATTTAATATGTTTTGCTAGTCTATATGGCCGTTTTTTGTGTTCCTAGAGTACCTAATTGAGCGAGGTGTCGCTACTGATACTGTTTTCAATATTTACGTTCTTCAAACCTACCTTTGATTTCACCGTACCGCTGGGTTCCTCATTCGGACGTGAGTGGAAACTGTTTTCTGCGTCTACCTTTCACCGAGGTCTTTTTGAAGAATCTATTCGTATGGTTCACGCTTCAACCTAATTCCGCGAGGTGTCGCTACTGATATTGTTTTCAATATTTAATATGTTTTGCTAGTCTACATGGCCGTTTTTCGTGTTCCTAGAGTATTCCTTTTCATTAAATAAGTATATGGTACCCCCAAAACATCGAAAAACGCACATTGAAAACAAAAAACGGACCGCAAAGCATTCTGGATGGCGCCAAAAGACAAAATATGGAAATGATATAATGTTTCGCTTTGTGTACGTTCTTGTTGGAAAGAACACATTGTAGACAATAGACCTATTACTTAAATGGCTATGACGCCTCCTGGATGATTTAGAAAGCTCATAAACCGACCATGCTTTTAATATGTTGAGTAAATTTATACAAATAAATTGAATAAATCTTTGAACAATTTTGATACTTTGTAATGTGTTAGCGAGGGGGTATTTCTAAAGTTGATTTGGTTTGTATATAGTATGCAATAAAAATTAGGTATTCTGAAGTCCGATCCCAAGTAGCACACATATATTGGGACAATATCGGTGCAATATTACGAAAATATCGGCAAAATATTGTGAAAGTAATATTGGCGAGAAAAAAAATGTGAACATTCGGCGATATTGGTACAATATCAGTTTCCAAATGTGGGTAGAATATTCTCATATTAATATTGGTTGAATATTCGTAGAGTAATATCGGACACAAAATTCAATATCAATATTGGCGAGAAATTAATGGTGAACATTCGGCAATATTGGTGTAATATATGGAAATATCGGTGAATCATTGGAAATCATCATGAAGGTATGTTGTCTCAGAAATATTGGTTGAATATTCTCATACCAATATTGCTGGTATATTCGTGAAGTTATATTGGTGCAATATTGGTTGGGAATATTGGTACATTATTGAAAATCATTATGTAGCTATGTTGTCTTCAAAATATTGGTGGAATATTTTCATACCAATATTTGCGAGTTATTCGCATCAGGAATAATCACAAAGGTCAGCCCAGCCGGAGTGCAATGGGAGGGCCTTGCCCTATGGAAGCCGCCTTGTTGATTACGGTTAACCCCTACTCCAGGTTATAATACTTCACAATCGTCTAGAGCCAATATTTAAATTCTCTCGTCGGATCGGCAATGAGAGTACGTTACCAATCATTTATAGCGCCATCTATCGACATCGGTTTAGGAGTGCGTAATATGGCATAAATATCGAAATTCCGATATCGATATGTATCCTCAAAACAATATGTGAACAATATTGCTTACATGATATAGTGAATCACATATCAGCCAATATAAGATGATATTATTTTCTGAATATGGCTAGAAAACTATTCACCCGATATGCAATTGAACTTGAAAATACAATATTGTTTTTCTCTTCTATGTCCGATATAAGATACATATTGAATTGCCGTTATTGATATTCATATTTGAATCATTGAAAACCCCTTCAGAATTGACATGTGGAGAATGTTCAAATTGCTATATTGGTTATAATTGTTGAAAACAATATGTATACGATATCTTCCGCATGATATGGATAGAATGATATTAATCAAGATAGGTGAATATGATATTTCGAATATTGTTGAAACAATATTCAACCAATATGCCGTCGAACTCAAATATACAATATTGCACAACCCCTTCAGAATCAACATGGGGACAATATTCAAATCGCGATATTGGTTATAAATGTGAGAAGCAAATTGTATACTTACGATATCTTCCGCATGATATAGATGAAATGATATCAATCAAGATGGGTGTATATAATGTTTCAAATATTGTTAAAACAATATCCAACCGATATGCCGTTTAACTTGAAAATACAATATTGCATAACCGCTTCAGAATCGATATGGGGAGAATGTTCAAATTGCAATATTGGTTGTAAATGTCGGGAACAATATGTATACGATGTTGTTGTATCGACATTCGTAAAACAATATTATATAACATTCATAGATATGTTTTTCAACACATTGTTAACGAATTTTACAACCAATATTGCTCCAAGATTGTAGCTGACAATCCATATTCAGCTCAGGTTGAACCAATATTCCACCAATATTATCATTCCAATATTGTTTGTCCAATATACTCTCATATTGGACCTATATTATTTTTCACATGTACGATATATCTATATCGGCCCAATATGAAATCGGGTTCCAGCCAATATGATGTGCTACCTGGGATATACCAATATTCTTTGAAACTTCCAATTCCCCAATGTTATCGATGAAATATAACATTCAGGTACCAGTACGTATAGGTATATCAATAGTGAATTGTGAATATTATATCAACTATAGCTTGTTACCTATCAAATGAAAGGTCTCTGCTTGAAATTTACGAAAATTGATTTTTGAAGGGTCTCAAGGGCCATATAGTGAATATTATATCAACTATAGCTTGTTACCTATCAAATGAAAGGTCTCTGCTTGAATTCCACGAAAATCAATTTTTGAAGGTCCTCAAGGGCCATATAGTGAATATTATGCTAACTATAGCTTGTTATATATCGATACAAAGGTATCTGCTCGAATTTTTTGAAAATCAATTTTTGAAGGGGGCCTCAAGGGCTATATATAGTGAATATTATGTCAACTATAGCTTGTTACCTATCAAATGTAAGGTCTCTGCTTGAAATTTACGAAAATTGATTTTTGAAGGGTCTCAAGGGCCATATAGTGAATATTATGCCAACTATAGCTTGTTACCTATCAAATGGATGGTCTCTGCTTGAATTTTACGAAAATCAAGGGCCTCAAGGGCCGCAAGGCCATATCGTGAATATTATGTCAACTTTGGCTTGTTATATATCAATACAAAGATCTCTGCTTGAGTTTAACGAAAATCAATTTTTGTAGTGCCTCAAGGGTCATATAGTGAATATCATGTCAACTATATTATATAGTTTGTTACCTATCAAATGAGAGGTCTCTGCTTGAATTTCACGAAAATCAATTTTTGAAGGGCTTTAAGGGTCATAGAGTGAAAATTATATCAACTATAGCTTGTTACCTATCAAATGAAAGGATTCTGCTTGAATTTCACGAAAATCAATTTTTTAAGGGTCTCAAGGGTCATAGAGTGAATATTATATCAACTATAGCTCATTACCTACCAAATGAAAGGTCTCTGCTTGAATTTCACGAAAATCAATTTTTGAAGGGCTTTAATGGCCATAGAGTGAAAATTTCATCAACTATAGCTTGTTATGTATCAAATGAACAGCCCCCTGCTCAAATTCCACGAAAATCAATTTTTGAAGGGCTTCAATGGTCATATAGTGAATATTATATCAACTATAGCTTTTTAATTTCAAATGTCATTTCTGCAATGATACACGTTAAAATCTACTCAATCTATCATATACCTTTTCAGAATATTGTCAAGTTCTTGTTGAAATTCCCAGTTGAATACGATAAGAAGCAGATACATGTGAATTCTATCGACTCAATTTATCTATTGAAAAATGAAGACATATTCTATGAAAATTAATATGTGTACTATTCAACACTTAATCAAAGTCAATATGAAAATTTTTTTGATATATTTAATAATCTTTGTAAATATATACATTTCATCTAACCAGTTCAGGAATAAGTTAACTAGTCATATGCAATGAACATATCGCACATGGACGGTGATATAGCATCTCTGTAAACTACGCTCCACTCACATCATACAATATTGTTACAAATGAAATCAAACTCAATGTGAAAATTTTCATATTATATTCTACTATTATCAGGAGTATAAGGAGTATAGATATTGCAGTCCGTTTCCTCACCACCCAAAGGGGTAGAGCCGTTACCACCGATGGTAACGGTAGAGCTCTGGCGCGTTGCTTTTTTTGCGATTGTTAACCTAACCATTCATCACACATTATATTCAAAAATTAATTGGGGTTAGGCCCTTAACTATCAATCTCCATTGTATTATCATCTGACATCCTTACTGAGGGAATAGAATAAAGGCTCCATGGAAGAGTTTCGTTAGTACCAGGAATCATGTATCGTTCATCATCAGTTGCGCTCAATGCTATCATCTGTTGTGTGGTTGAAAATACAGGATGTTTTTGAGCTCTGATGAAATTTTGGGAAACTGTTTTCTGCTTATGAGATTCCAAACATTCGACGTAATCCCCGAAAGTGATAGTTGTTTCAACGACAGATGATTTCACGCCTTTTGCTTTCTTTGTAACACCAATATTCATAATGATCGCTGAAACTGGTGCAGTTCTTGAATTCGAGTTTGGAAATATAAGCCTCAGCACCATATCTTCCTGCCTTCGTAGTATATTTCTATTACTTACTATACATTATTTTCATCAAATTCAATTTTAAACATCAGATATCCTCAAAATGATTCATATTTTGTGACAAAAATCTATTATATTATAAAAATATATGTACAGTATGCAGTATGATACAAATGTATAGAATAAATCCATTTCAAAACTAGACTACTTTCGAAAAAAAATCCTGAAACTAGAGTTTGGAACTATTCAAATTGATGTATTCTTTGAACTATAGACGATCGTTTGCTGTTCAACTCTCAGTATAGCAGATCTCTGCAAGATTCAGTTAAACAAATGAGCATTCATTTCAATTTTCTAATGCTAAATTTTGACTGGATAGACGTTCAGTGGACCTTTCAAATGAGGTGTCACATGACCCCTGTTTGTATTTGAAAAAATCGTCCATTACTATCCAACACCGGTGACGTAACATCTCTCATATGAATATCATGAAATGAGGCTTCAAAAATTAAAACCAACACATGTTTTTGGAATTATTCAAAAGTCACCCGTTTCTGAAATAAATTTATGCCATACATTTGCATCATACTGTAAAGAAAGAATATTAGCTCCTGCTGAACCATCTCGGAAACTAATCTTGGGTTGAGAAATGTCTTCTTTCGTATTGTATTTTCCTATTACTCTACATTCGTTTCATTGAATCAATATGGTAATTCGTATATGCTGTAGATAATCCTAATGTACAATATCTGAGAGTGCATTTACTATCACGTATTTCATAATTAGAAATCAAACTTGCCGGAACATGCATCTATAAGAGTGTATATTTGAGGCTCGATATAAGTTTATTTATTCAGAAATAGTGATTTTATTTGTGCGTGCAGAAATATTACTTATGCATGTAAGTGCGAATTTTTAGAATTATTGTTTAAAGTCTTCAGAGATTTTTTGTGAACCTCTGTTTGCTTTTCCAGGATATAGCTCATAACAGAATACCTATATATACAATGTACCTGTAGGAACATTTCGAAACATTATAGGAATTTCATTTCGTGTGGTCCAAGAGATAAAACAAAAAAATTGTTTTTCATTCATATAAATAATGTGAAACCTATTTCTATCAATTGATATCATCTGATTATATTCTGATTCTGATTTTATTCTATATGGTTTTCATTTTAATAATTCGATTCGATGGGTCATCAATTTGTTTCTTACTTTCCCTCATATATGTTGCATTTTATGCTATGATGACTAATTTTTCCTATGAATTGAACTGGATGTCGACATTTCTGGAATCTATTCCTTACAACGTTATAAGGAAAAAAATAATATAATACACAAGAATTTTCGGCTACATATAAATGGCTTCTTTATGCATCAGAATGAATGAGTTCGAAGTGATCTACATTCTTTATGATTGCATAAACTTAACACATGTATTCAAGGTCAGTAGCGAAATCCTAATGGAAATATCGCAATTATCATACCTAACAAGATTGAAGTGTTCATCCATTGGCTCACAAAAAATCAATTTTAGAATGAAAGCAAAGTTCATTTGATTATACTGAAATAAATGATATAACTTGTTTGAATGAGAGAATATCTTTTTTCATTCAAGAGGCAATATCGATAAAAAATCTGAATTTTGTTTATACCAAGTGTCTATCAAAACCCAAATGACCCATGTGATTTTATCAGATATAATTTATTTTTCTCAAATTGTGAGTTGATAATCTAGTAAACATGAGAACTCAATGAAAAAAAAATACCTTCCTTATCTTTGGTCAGCTTTCATCTTCCAATTTCAAATCATACAAACTAGAATAATTAAATATGCCATCATCAATCATATCCCTTATGATGGAGATTGTTTATGCTAAAATGCATGATGTATCTCGATAACATGAATTTTTCATCAGTGCAACTATTCATCTTTCATAGATTTTTATTGTTCAGAAATGATCTCAATTACCTTCCATGAAATGAATGTTCATTTTATCATACTCAAAATCAATCTGGGTTGAATCAGAGAAATGACATTTACTATTCTAGAGGCAATATAATGGTGAAAGAACTGATTTTGCTCTGCTGAACAGGATGTAGAATCTCCATTCTATGTCTGTTGAAAACCAAATTCGGTATTTTCGAGTTATTTTATCAGATATTTTATTCATTATAATTTATAGTTGACAATTATCTAGTAAACAATATATACTAAGGACTCTCAATTTACAATTTTGATTCATTCATCCTAGAATAATGAAATATGTTTGCATAAATAATATCTTTTGAAAATTATATGTAAATTCTCCTGGGCGATCGTGATTTATTCAACTGAATGAAAACACACATAATATATCGATGTCCGACATTCACGTCGTTGTATAAGTTCAAAGTTGCAGCTTGATGCATTTTGTTATTAACCTTATATTATTGTTGTCATCTTGTCTATTGAGAAAACAACTTTTGACATCAAGTGAATGCTTTCCATAATTTCTTTGGTTTTCATTATGTCTTTCAATTATTGAGTATTCGATTATGAATAATTAACGTGATTATAATATAATTCAACGAATTCTAAGGGTCGATTTCTACCAAGTACATTCAAATGAGCATCGATGGGTATTTTTGGTAATTTCGGAAACATATTCTGACAAGTAACTTTTTACAAGTATCGATGACATATTATGGGATTTGTAGTGGATTCAGAAGTCGAAGAGGTGAGCTTGAATGGAGGAAAACGATGAACAATAAATTCAAATTGGACTGATTACTGAAGTTATTTTGGTTTCTTCATACCCACCAAACGTAACATGAAATCAACCAAATGCAGAAGGACAATGGCGTTCGATTGTTGTTGTTTTCTGAATCGAATTTCAATAAGTTTCATGAAAGATAAATGAATGTAGATGATATTCTGTCATATTGTGTCAATTTTTTTTTCTGATGGAAGAGCAAGCTCTGCTATGAATTTTTCATGCGCAGATATTGGATCCTGCCTTTTGTTAGGTTCTCTGTACTTTGTATTTAACCTCTCAATAGAATACACCAAATTATCGAATTATATTAATTGTTATATACCAGATATTTTAATGCAAACAATTCACTGTGTTTTATAATATTGACAAATCACACTTATTTTTATATATATGTTGAAATTGTAAAACATTCGGTTCCCAGAAGGAGATAGTTGGAAGAGGTCAGAACTGATTTGAAAAATCCCATATACATTGCGACGTGACTTTTTCATTGATGAACGCTTCTGAAAAGGTTGATTCCAACGATAAAACAGATAAGCAGTGAAATCATATTAACGTTATTACTATGACAATAAAATTCATAATTGTTGAACAAAATTATGCATAAAACTTATGAATCATTACAGAAAGTCATTATTCCGATGTGAAAAAATTCGTTTTTAATTCTATTGATAGATATAAGCAGTGCAAGTATTTTTCTACCAACAACAAAGAGAGTACGAACTACTCACAAATGTCCTAATTCACATTGACTGTGAGACCATATCATACAGCAATTGCTAATTTACTTCTGTAGAAAATGCTGATAATAGCAAATCAGTATCATGATTCCTAATGGGAAATAATAAACTTTCTAATCAGTACCCGGCAAAATTGATATTCTCTCCTTATTTGAAGACACCAAAAAATGTGTCAATTTTGCAAACGTGGGGTAGAAAGACAAACTTTCTGCAAGAGTCTATCACATACCAACATGCGGTACTTCTGACCTCGATAACGCTTGGGTTCGGTTGTTTGTTTACCTCTGATCATCGATTCACATTAGTTTCATCAGTTTATATTGTTTTTTCGTTCTTTCACTTCATTTATCGCTTCGAGTATATATTTCCAACATCAGAAAGACTATTGGTACATCAAATTTGCATGTTCTAGCAGAATATTTTGAATAAAAATGAACGAACCTATTGAACTATATTAGTAGAATATTTTCAATATTTCAAAATTATGAAATCTTATTTGAAAAATAGGATATTGGATATTATTTCTTTATATTTGAAGAACTCTTATGTTGATCATTTTCAGTGATTTTTCTGGTTCAAATTCCTGCCTTTATTATAACAATAAAAACAACTTCCACTCTTCATCGCGAGTATGCCGTTATAATAAGTATACCTCGTAAAATCATTTCAAGAAGACAATAACCTTTTTTATAAGGCATCAGATGAAAGTTTATTTATTGAATACTCCTTCTTTTGGACCATGAGAAAAGGAATCGAATATATATCATATAGGCGGAAAAGAAGAGAATAAGGTTTTGGAAGGTATATTCGAAACAGCCATTCAACACTCATGAAAGCTATGCACCATATCAATTCATCCCATTCAATACTGATTCCTTCATCAAAATAAAAAACTTAGTGCTGGTGAAGAATGATTTTCTGATTATTATGAAGAAAACATTTGGTTACTCACTTGATATCGTCTTAATACTAACTACATATATTTATTACGAATAATTCGGAGTGACAATATTCTCTGTTTGTCTTCAATAAGTAGTTAGACCATTCTATAGATTTATATAGCGTGGCTGGAATTCGAGCCTCATCATTGGGGTAAACCGTAAGAGATACAGGGTCGGTTGGATCATGCATAATTTTACTCCTAACAAAATGCTGTTTCTCAACTTAAAAAATTCCAAATATATTCGGTGACATATACGAAAAAATCCAAAATTTCCTAAAACCTAGATTTTTTTCAGTTGACGAAATTATTCGAAATGAACGACAGTTTATCATGACCACCCTACAAGTTGGTGTTGTCAAATTTGAAATCCGACGTTTCGTCTTCCAGAAACCATAATAAATTTATTATTCTTGAATACGGAGCTGGATTTTTTATTTGATTTTTTTACACCTCCGTTTATCCCAAAAGCTATGAGCTATCACACATTTTTATTTTTCGAATGTTTCGTTCACAAAATCTATAGTTTTTTGTAATCTTGATACTGAATTTTGGAACACCCTCATTAGGTACATAGTATTAGGTATATATATATAAGCAAACAAAAATAATTATTCACGATGGATTTGAGTTTCGTAAGTGTTAAGGGGATAATAATATAAATAACTTAAAATAATAATTGATGAGAAGCAAAATACTCATATTTCGCAATGAAAAACTATGCGTGAAGAGGGTATACTGGCCATTCAAAATTATCACCGCACATGAAAAAATATTCCCGGATATTATGCGGTTTTGCTTTCGATAGCGGCAACTGTATTGATATGTTCATCAACTTCAAGGTATACTTATTATAACGGCATACTCGCGATGAAGAGTGGAAGTTGTTTTTATTGTTATAATATAGGCAGGAATTTGAACCAGAAAAATCACTGAAAATGATCAACATAAGAGTTCTTCAAATATGAAGAAATAATATCCAATATCCTATTTTTCAAATAAGATTTCATAATTTTCAAATATTGAAAATATTCTACTAATATAGTTCAATAGGTTCGTTCATTTTTATTCAAAATATTCTGCTAGAACATGCAAATTTGATGTACCAATAGTCTTTCTGATGTTGGAAATATATACTCGAAGCGATAAATGAAGTGAAAGAACGAAAAAACAATATAAACTGATGAAACTAATGTGAATCGATGATCAGAGGTAAACAAACAACCGAACCCAAGCGTTATCGAGGTCAGAAGTACCGCATGTTGGTATGTGATAGACTCTTGCAGAAAGTTTGTCTTTCTACCCCACGTTTGCAAAATTGACACATTTTTTGGTGTCTTCAAATAAGGAGAGAATATCAATTTTGCCGGGTACTGATTAGAAAGTTTATTATTTCCCATTAGGAATCATGATACTGATTTGCTATTATCAGCATTTTCTACAGAAGTAAATTAGCAATTGCTGTATGATATGGTCTCACAGTCAATGTGAATTAGGACATTTGTGAGTAGTTCGTACTCTCTTTGTTGTTGGTAGAAAAATACTTGCACTGCTTATATCTATCAATAGAATTAAAAACGAATTTTTTCACATCGGAATAATGACTTTCTGTAATGATTCATAAGTTTTATGCATAATTTTGTTCAACAATTATGAATTTTATTGTCATAGTAATAACGTTAATATGATTTCACTGCTTATCTGTTTTATCGTTGGAATCAACCTTTTCAGAAGCGTTCATCAATGAAAAAGTCACGTCGCAATGTATATGGGATTTTTCAAATCAGTTCTGACCTCTTCCAACTATCTCCTTCTGGGAACCGAATGTTTTACAATTTCAACATATATATAAAAATAAGTGTGATTTGTCAATATTATAAAACACAGTGAATTGTTTGCATTAAAATATCTGGTATATAACAATTAATATAATTCGATAATTTGGTGTATTCTATTGAGAGGTTAAATACAAAGTACAGAGAACCTAACAAAAGGCAGGATCCAATATCTGCGCATGAAAAATTCATAGCAGAGCTTGCTCTTCCATCAGAAAAAAAAATTGACACAATATGACAGAATATCATCTACATTCATTTATCTTTCATGAAACTTATTGAAATTCGATTCAGAAAACAACAACAATCGAACGCCATTGTCCTTCTGCATTTGGTTGATTTCATGTTACGTTTGGTGGGTATGAAGAAACCAAAATAACTTCAGTAATCAGTCCAATTTGAATTTATTGTTCATCGTTTTCCTCCATTCAAGCTCACCTCTTCGACTTCTGAATCCACTACAAATCCCATAATATGTCATCGATACTTGTAAAAAGTTACTTGTCAGAATATGTTTCCGAAATTACCAAAAATACCCATCGATGCTCATTTGAATGTACTTGGTAGAAATCGACCCTTAGAATTCGTTGAATTATATTATAATCACGTTAATTATTCATAATCGAATACTCAATAATTGAAAGACATAATGAAAACCAAAGAAATTATGGAAAGCATTCACTTGATGTCAAAAGTTGTTTTCTCAATAGACAAGATGACAACAATAATATAAGGTTAATAACAAAATGCATCAAGCTGCAACTTTGAACTTATACAACGACGTGAATGTCGGACATCGATATATTATGTGTGTTTTCATTCAGTTGAATAAATCACGATCGCCCAGGAGAATTTACATATAATTTTCAAAAGATATTATTTATGCAAACATATTTCATTATTCTAGGATGAATGAATCAAAATTGTAAATTGAGAGTCCTTAGTATATATTGTTTACTAGATAATTGTCAACTATAAATTATAATGAATAAAATATCTGATAAAATAACTCGAAAATACCGAATTTGGTTTTCAACAGACATAGAATGGAGATTCTACATCCTGTTCAGCAGAGCAAAATCAGTTCTTTCACCATTATATTGCCTCTAGAATAGTAAATGTCATTTCTCTGATTCAACCCAGATTGATTTTGAGTATGATAAAATGAACATTCATTTCATGGAAGGTAATTGAGATCATTTCTGAACAATAAAAATCTATGAAAGATGAATAGTTGCACTGATGAAAAATTCATGTTATCGAGATACATCATGCATTTTAGCATAAACAATCTCCATCATAAGGGATATGATTGATGATGGCATATTTAATTATTCTAGTTTGTATGATTTGAAATTGGAAGATGAAAGCTGACCAAAGATAAGGAAGGTATTTTTTTTTCATTGAGTTCTCATGTTTACTAGATTATCAACTCACAATTTGAGAAAAATAAATTATATCTGATAAAATCACATGGGTCATTTGGGTTTTGATAGACACTTGGTATAAACAAAATTCAGATTTTTTATCGATATTGCCTCTTGAATGAAAAAAGATATTCTCTCATTCAAACAAGTTATATCATTTATTTCAGTATAATCAAATGAACTTTGCTTTCATTCTAAAATTGATTTTTTGTGAGCCAATGGATGAACACTTCAATCTTGTTAGGTATGATAATTGCGATATTTCCATTAGGATTTCGCTACTGACCTTGAATACATGTGTTAAGTTTATGCAATCATAAAGAATGTAGATCACTTCGAACTCATTCATTCTGATGCATAAAGAAGCCATTTATATGTAGCCGAAAATTCTTGTGTATTATATTATTTTTTTCCTTATAACGTTGTAAGGAATAGATTCCAGAAATGTCGACATCCAGTTCAATTCATAGGAAAAATTAGTCATCATAGCATAAAATGCAACATATATGAGGGAAAGTAAGAAACAAATTGATGACCCATCGAATCGAATTATTAAAATGAAAACCATATAGAATAAAATCAGAATCAGAATATAATCAGATGATATCAATTGATAGAAATAGGTTTCACATTATTTATATGAATGAAAAACAATTTTTTTGTTTTATCTCTTGGACCACACGAAATGAAATTCCTATAATGTTTCGAAATGTTCCTACAGGTACATTGTATATATAGGTATTCTGTTATGAGCTATATCCTGGAAAAGCAAACAGAGGTTCACAAAAAATCTCTGAAGACTTTAAACAATAATTCTAAAAATTCGCACTTACATGCATAAGTAATATTTCTGCACGCACAAATAAAATCACTATTTCTGAATAAATAAACTTATATCGAGCCTCAAATATACACTCTTATAGATGCATGTTCCGGCAAGTTTGATTTCTAATTATGAAATACGTGATAGTAAATGCACTCTCAGATATTGTACATTAGGATTATCTACAGCATATACGAATTACCATATTGATTCAATGAAACGAATGTAGAGTAATAGGAAAATACAATACGAAAGAAGACATTTCTCAACCCAAGATTAGTTTCCGAGATGGTTCAGCAGGAGCTAATATTCTTTCTTTACAGTATGATGCAAATGTATGGCATAAATTTATTTCAGAAACGGGTGACTTTTGAATAATTCCAAAAACATGTGTTGGTTTTAATTTTTGAAGCCTCATTTCATGATATTCATATGAGAGATGTTACGTCACCGGTGTTGGATAGTAATGGACGATTTTTTCAAATACAAACAGGGGTCATGTGACACCTCATTTGAAAGGTCCACTGAACGTCTATCCAGTCAAAATTTAGCATTAGAAAATTGAAATGAATGCTCATTTGTTTAACTGAATCTTGCAGAGATCTGCTATACTGAGAGTTGAACAGCAAACGATCGTCTATAGTTCAAAGAATACATCAATTTGAATAGTTCCAAACTCTAGTTTCAGGATTTTTTTTCGAAAGTAGTCTAGTTTTGAAATGGATTTATTCTATACATTTGTATCATACTGCATACTGTACATATATTTTTATAATATAATAGATTTTTGTCACAAAATATGAATCATTTTGAGGATATCTGATGTTTAAAATTGAATTTGATGAAAATAATGTATAGTAAGTAATAGAAATATACTACGAAGGCAGGAAGATATGGTGCTGAGGCTTATATTTCCAAACTCGAATTCAAGAACTGCACCAGTTTCAGCGATCATTATGAATATTGGTGTTACAAAGAAAGCAAAAGGCGTGAAATCATCTGTCGTTGAAACAACTATCACTTTCGGGGATTACGTCGAATGTTTGGAATCTCATAAGCAGAAAACAGTTTCCCAAAATTTCATCAGAGCTCAAAAACATCCTGTATTTTCAACCACACAACAGATGATAGCATTGAGCGCAACTGATGATGAACGATACATGATTCCTGGTACTAACGAAACTCTTCCATGGAGCCTTTATTCTATTCCCTCAGTAAGGATGTCAGATGATAATACAATGGAGATTGATAGTTAAGGGCCTAACCCCAATTAATTTTTGAATATAATGTGTGATGAATGGTTAGGTTAACAATCGCAAAAAAAGCAACGCGCCAGAGCTCTACCGTTACCATCGGTGGTAACGGCTCTACCCCTTTGGGTGGTGAGGAAACGGACTGCAATATCTATACTCCTTATACTCCTGATAATAGTAGAATATAATATGAAAATTTTCACATTGAGTTTGATTTCATTTGTAACAATATTGTATGATGTGAGTGGAGCGTAGTTTACAGAGATGCTATATCACCGTCCATGTGCGATATGTTCATTGCATATGACTAGTTAACTTATTCCTGAACTGGTTAGATGAAATGTATATATTTACAAAGATTATTAAATATATCAAAAAAATTTTCATATTGACTTTGATTAAGTGTTGAATAGTACACATATTAATTTTCATAGAATATGTCTTCATTTTTCAATAGATAAATTGAGTCGATAGAATTCACATGTATCTGCTTCTTATCGTATTCAACTGGGAATTTCAACAAGAACTTGACAATATTCTGAAAAGGTATATGATAGATTGAGTAGATTTTAACGTGTATCATTGCAGAAATGACATTTGAAATTAAAAAGCTATAGTTGATATAATATTCACTATATGACCATTGAAGCCCTTCAAAAATTGATTTTCGTGGAATTTGAGCAGGGGGCTGTTCATTTGATACATAACAAGCTATAGTTGATGAAATTTTCACTCTATGGCCATTAAAGCCCTTCAAAAATTGATTTTCGTGAAATTCAAGCAGAGACCTTTCATTTGGTAGGTAATGAGCTATAGTTGATATAATATTCACTCTATGACCCTTGAGACCCTTAAAAAATTGATTTTCGTGAAATTCAAGCAGAATCCTTTCATTTGATAGGTAACAAGCTATAGTTGATATAATTTTCACTCTATGACCCTTAAAGCCCTTCAAAAATTGATTTTCGTGAAATTCAAGCAGAGACCTCTCATTTGATAGGTAACAAACTATATAATATAGTTGACATGATATTCACTATATGACCCTTGAGGCACTACAAAAATTGATTTTCGTTAAACTCAAGCAGAGATCTTTGTATTGATATATAACAAGCCAAAGTTGACATAATATTCACGATATGGCCTTGCGGCCCTTGAGGCCCTTGATTTTCGTAAAATTCAAGCAGAGACCATCCATTTGATAGGTAACAAGCTATAGTTGGCATAATATTCACTATATGGCCCTTGAGACCCTTCAAAAATCAATTTTCGTAAATTTCAAGCAGAGACCTTACATTTGATAGGTAACAAGCTATAGTTGACATAATATTCACTATATATAGCCCTTGAGGCCCCCTTCAAAAATTGATTTTCAAAAAATTCGAGCAGATACCTTTGTATCGATATATAACAAGCTATAGTTAGCATAATATTCACTATATGGCCCTTGAGGACCTTCAAAAATTGATTTTCGTGGAATTCAAGCAGAGACCTTTCATTTGATAGGTAACAAGCTATAGTTGATATAATATTCACTATATGGCCCTTGAGACCCTTCAAAAATCAATTTTCGTAAATTTCAAGCAGAGACCTTTCATTTGATAGGTAACAAGCTATAGTTGATATAATATTCACAATTCACTATTGATATACCTATACGTACTGGTACCTGAATGTTATATTTCATCGATAACATTGGGGAATTGGAAGTTTCAAAGAATATTGGTATATCGGACTTCAGAATACCTAATTTTTATTGCATACTATATACAAACCAAATCAACTTTAGAAATACCCCCTCGCTAACACATTACAAAGTATCAAAATTGTTCAAAGATTTATTCAATTTATTTGTATAAATTTACTCAACATATTAAAAGCATGGTCGGTTTATGAGCTTTCTAAATCATCCAGGAGGCGTCATAGCCATTTAAGTAATAGGTCTATTGTCTACAATGTGTTCTTTCCAACAAGAACGTACACAAAGCGAAACATTATATCATTTCCATATTTTGTCTTTTGGCGCCATCCAGAATGCTTTGCGGTCCGTTTTTTGTTTTCAATGTGCGTTTTTCGATGTTTTGGGGGTACCATATACTTATTTAATGAAAAGGAATACTCTAGGAACACGAAAAACGGCCATGTAGACTAGCAAAACATATTAAATATTGAAAACAATATCAGTAGCGACACCTCGCGGAATTAGGTTGAAGCGTGAACCATACGAATAGATTCTTCAAAAAGACCTCGGTGAAAGGTAGACGCAGAAAACAGTTTCCACTCACGTCCGAATGAGGAACCCAGCGGTACGGTGAAATCAAAGGTAGGTTTGAAGAACGTAAATATTGAAAACAGTATCAGTAGCGACACCTCGCTCAATTAGGTACTCTAGGAACACAAAAAACGGCCATATAGACTAGCAAAACATATTAAATATTGAAAACAGTATCAGTAGCGACACCTCGCGAGATTAGGTTGAAGCGTGAACCATATGAATAGATTCTTCAAAAACAAAGGCAGACGCAGAAAACAGTTTCCACTCACGTCCGAATGAGTACCCCAGCGGTACAGTGAAATCAAAGGTTGGTTTGAAGAATAGATATATTGAAAACAGTATCAGTAGCGATACCTCGCGGAATTAGGTACTCTAGGAACACAAAGAAACGGCCGCATAGGCACAGTGTATAGGCTAGCAAAACATAAGTATTAAATATTGAAAACAGTATCAATAGCGACACCTCACGGAATTAGGTTGAAGCGTAACACATACGAGTAGATTCTTCAAAAAGACCTCTGTAATAGGAGAAGGTAAGCATAGCAAACAGTTTCCACTCACATCCGAGTGAGGACACTAGCAGTACCGTAAAATCAAATCTATGTAGAACATAGAAATATTTACTGAAACTCATTCATAAGCCTAATATATTTATTTAAATTGCTCATATTGGCCCAATGAAGCAAAATGAACCCCCCCAAATATCCATATAAGTACCCATCCATATGTCGAATATCCATACTCATGGCCCCCCACAAAATATCTCTCGAAAACAGGGGGACAAGTTGAGTCGTACCCACACTTGCACGTTGATAAATTGGACCCCCCATAGCCACTTGGTAACGTGTCGGCTTGCCAACCCAGAGATCCAAAGTTCAAATCCTATACGGTATGATTATCTTTTTTTAATTAAATAAAATTATTAAGTGAACTGAACGTTATACGTCATAATGAATGTAATAGGTTTCCATTAGGTGGGCCAACTGCCAAATTTCCGTAGAAACCCTCTTGTTTAACTACTTGAAACCACAAATCGAAGTTATAGCACAGTTATACAGATTGTGACTTTTTTATGGAAATTTGAAAATAGGATAATAAAATCATTGATTAAGCAAAACCTTCACACAGAACTGAGTTATTTGTTTGTCATGACTTCCATGATAATTTTGTTTCGAATTTGTAACACTTTAGCAGAAATAAAAAGTAAGCAAACATTTCCTGAAAAACTTCAAAGATTCCAGGAAATATGCTTATAAAGATGGAAATTGGTACCTACCTGAAATGATCGCTGAACATAGAATGCAGAGACCGGATGGCAGCTGTGGCGAAACTATTACTGACAGTGGGGTCAACACTTTCTTGATAAGTTTCCCCAGCATTCTGTAATTTCTTCTCACCTACGAAAATCCATCATCAGCTTCAAAAATGATTCAAAAGCTGCCTAACTACATATTAGTAGGTATTTCACATAGTAAGAGCAAGAGATATGTAATTATCGAAGAATTACAGCGGTAATTGCCAGGGGCGGACTGGACCTTTGAATCGGCCCGGGCGAATTGAACCCTACCGGCCCATCTCCGGAGAAAATTCCAAAGCTAATATAGCTATTCATATAATTTCATTACATATTTTAGTGACATGGACAAAAACGAAAGAAAAACGTTACAAATAATTTTGATTCTAATCAAACTTAAGCGAGAAAATTTGTCGAAAAAACATCAAATATACTGAAGGAAAATGAAATCAATAACATGAATAACATTTAATTAATGAAAAATAAGAATATATAGATAGAATAAACGATAATTTAATGGTGGAGGAATATAAGGAACTTTGTAAATAATATTAAAGCTACAAAAAGACTAGGAAAATTATTCATCCAAAATAAAACATAAGCCGCATTAGATATCGAAATCACAGAACGAGTGAACCTCTCATGGATCCACATTTCTCAATGAAATCCAAAATTATATCGTCGCTTCCTATTTATTGTGAAATCGTTTTTTCGCAGCTCATCATGATGAAAGCCCCCAAATGTTCTTGGCTCAGATGATTTCTTAGCCTAATCAAAATGAATTTAAATTTTGGAGAAAGATTTTTCACATGAAACTTGCGATACTGAAAGGGTGATAATAATTTTATCTGAATATGGATATACCTCAACGTAAAAATTTTATTTGTGCAAAGTGCAATTCTACATCGAAGACATAAGTTCCTCCACCCATCATATCTTCTGATGAAGTGATCAACAGTCTTCCCACTTCGAGGCAAAATCTATCAAGGCTTATTTCATCAGAAGGATAATAATTTTTGATATTTTCATAAATCATCATTATTGAGTTTTCAGTCAATATTATTTGATCATCTGTGAATCTTGACGGATCAAATAGTTCAATAGTTCAAAATCATGAAACAATTCATTATGTTTCTTGAATATAAATTCCAGTGCGGTGATAATCAATGATTACATTAAAAGTCTCAATTTTGAATTTCTTGATGGGAATAGTTAATTTCAATGAATTTATGTGTATCAATCAAAATGACATCATATTCTCGCGATACTTTTTCAAGGAATTCATGGTTTTTCCGACGATTCGGTATGCTTCTAAAATATCCATTGGAACCTGATATTCGTAGTTAGCTCGGAAGAGTAGTGGTGAAATTGATTATTTCTCTAATCAAAATTGCAGATATAATGGTCTCATACTTCAGGAAGCTGTTGAGAAGACATGTATTTCTTTATTCATTCACTATTTCTACCGGCCCCAAAGGGCCCCAGCCCAGCCCTCGCCATAATAACACATAATGTAATCGTGTCGCTAGACGCCAGTGAACAATACAAATTAATGTCAGATAGACCTCAAAAAGTGACAAAAATGTCGTGTTTTGGTGAGTACTCCATACAATCTAAATGTCTTATAGCACTTTTTATCTACAGTCTAGAATTTCTTTATTCGTGAAATATATTTCAATGAATTACAGTCGTGCATACAAGTTACCAGATGATCTTTGCAATCAAAAGTTTACATGCATTGCATTCGGTTATTTTCAGGTTTCTTTAAAGATTCCTCCTTCTTTGGATTCGGACTCTTTCGCCAAAATATGAACAAAAACTTGCAATTTTCAGAAAACACGCTTTCTTGCAAAATTACCTATATTCGATAATTTTTATGTATTTGTGCTATTTATAACCGATAATTTCTGAAATGCTTAGTATTGGGAGGTCTGAAACAAGTCTATAGAAAATTGATCATGGCGAAATATATGATCTATCTATCTATCTATCTGATATTGGTAAAAATCCATCTATCACAATGGGTTGATACAATATAAATCACTGGCAAATAATTTGAAGCTGATCAATAGGATTGAAGATTTTGAAAAAACATTCAAGAAACATTAACTCCAGTAATATTGCCATCATATCTTTATTCTTTGTTTTGTTTTTTACAATCACTTTTAACAACTACCTAACAGTTATTAGTTCAATTTACTTCGACTTCCATTAACCATCATGTTTTGTACCTTCCTCAATGTCACGCTAACTGAGTCAATTGAGAATAATTTTCTGTTAAACTTGAAAAAAAGCATTCCTGCTTGAGTGTGAATCTCATTTTGTTGTCTCCTTCATATTTTGCTAAATATATTTCTTATGTGACGGGAAAAAGTTTGAATTTCATCTCTGTTGACAGGTTAAAAAAATGTCACTTTTCATGAATTACTTTTTTCCCACGGATAAAAATTAGTTTGTACTCTTTTCCCGGGTATACAGGCTGATCCACGGTGGATGGTCTATTAGGAGTATCTGGAAAACGAAAAGACAGAACATTCTGAAAATTGGGATGCTTTGATAATTGAACATCCCCTATCCGTCTAGAATATTTTCATTGATACAGTATTGCCACTTCTATCAGAACCAACTAGCAACTTTGTTATTTCAAATGGAACACCCTGTATTTTATTGCATTTTTAGATTCTTCCTGACGAGCTGATTTCATCAATGTATCACACTTGGGTTCTAGCAGGAATGATTACAGAGATATAGGGTGTTGAAAATCGAGATTTTTCAATTTTAGGAATTTTTTTGTCGAAACTATTCATTATCGATCAAAACTTATCATATCTTAACTTTTAATTCACTATCTACTGGAATTTAATTGGAAAAAATACAGTTGTTGCTACTTTCCAATACCAGGTAAAAAACTAAGAACGGCTGTCGGCCATATCTCAGCAACGAATAATGATACAAGTTTGAGATAGAATAAATCTGATGGTATGCATATCATTATACGATGTAATAGAAAATCTTAATCTCAACAGACCAACGAAAACCACAACATGATAGCTTCTCGCCAATGGAAGATATCAACTATCAAAGTTGGAAGAATGATAGATATGACAGCCGTTCTTAGTTGTTCACCTGGTACAAGCGGCAACATCGCAACGCTGAGAATAGTTTAGGTCGATAGAACACAACTGATTATCGGAGGCACCAACTTTTCAGAATAATTCTGAGTTGCGTTCTCCAGAAACGTCTATATTGAGACGACAAAAAAAAGTGTGACTTCACAAAAAATTCAAATTTGTTTGGCAAGATGATAGCTCACCCAAAATCTTAGGCACCCAATCGTTGTAAGTAATGTGCTGCATCTCGGCAACAACGATCCTTCTGGTCTCCTGGAACAGCTTCTCGTCATCCCAGTGCTCGTTCATTTCCCTCAACTTTCTCGCTATCCTGTTGTGTTCTCGCACCGAAATCGTGTGCATCACCGTGAGACGCGGATGCTGGTTGACTCTCGGATCTCCAGCTGTGAAGCAAGCCGCGTTTTTTGTCTGAAAGTCAAGGAAGAATTGAAACTGACGTCTTCTGCACGTCAAAATATGTTCGTCGACGTGCCCTTATCGTGTGCATCACCATAAGCTGCGTTCTTATCATCTGAACGTCAAAGAAAAAATAAGGCTGAACCCAGTTCACGAGCTGAAAGTCGAAGAAAAATTGAAGCTGAACCCATGAGCTGACGTCTTTGTATTGTAAGACAATATATGTTCATTGACGTTATATGACCCTGAAATGGTGTGATTTTGACGTACTAAATGAGATTTCAATTTGATGTCCCGAATATCAAGTGAATTTGATATGTTATTAATAGGTCATTATAATGTTCTCCCACCCAAATCGTGTGCATCACCGTGAAACGCGAATGCTGGTTGACTCTCGGATTTCTAGCTGTGAAGCAAGCCGCGTTTTTCATCTGAAAAACGAAGATAAATTGTAAATGTTAACTGAAGCATGAGCTGACGTTCATTGTTTATCAATATAATGTTCATTGCCGTCATATAACCTTGAAATTACACGATTCAGACGTTTTGAATGATACTTCAATTCAACGTCCTGAATCAATTTGATATTATTGCGAAGCAAGCCTCGTTCTTCGCCTGAAAGTCAAGGAGACATTGACAATGACTTTTGCACATCAATATGAATATGTTCGTCGACGTGACCTTATTGTGTTCTAGTACTCTCGGATCTCTCGGATCTCCAGGTATGAAGCAAGCAGCGTTTTTTATCTGAAAAACTAAGAAAAATTGTAAATGTCTTCAGTTCATGAGCTGATGTTCTTTGTTCGTCAATATAATGGTCATTGGCGTCTTATAACCTTCAAATTACGCGATTCAGATGTTCTGAATTGATTCTTCAATTCAACGTCCTGAATCAATTTGATATTATTGCGAAGCAAGCCTCGTTCTTCGCCTGAAGACATTGAAACTGACTTTTGCACATCAATATGAATATGTTCGTCTACATGACCTGATTGTGTTCTCGTACTCAAATCATGTGCATCACTGTAAGCTGCGATCTTAATCTGGAAGTCAAAGAAAACATGAGGCTGAACTCAGTTCCCGAGCTGAAAGTCGAAGAAAAATTGAAGCTGAACCCAGTACATGAGCTGACGTCTTTTTTACGACAATATATGCTCAGTGACGACATATGACCACGAAATGACCTGATTTCGTCGTACTGAATGGGATTTGAATTTGATATCCTGAATATCAAGTTCATTTTGATGTTATTGATAGGTCATTATTGTGTATTCGCACCCAAATCGTGTGCATCACCGTGACACGCGGATGCTGGTTGTCTCTCGTATCACCAGCTGCGAAGCAAGCCGAGTTCTTCGTCTGCAAATCGAGAAAAAATTGAAACTGGCGTCTTCTGCACGTCAATATAATGATTATGTTCATCGACGTGATCGTATTCTGTTCTCGCACCCGAATCGTGTGCAACACCGTGAGCTGCGTTTTCCATATGTAAGGCGAAGAAAAATTGAGGCTGAACTTGCTACATAAGATGACGTCTTTTCTACGTCAATATATGTTCGTTGACGAACGTGATTTTGACGTACTAAATGGGATTTCAATTTGATGCCCTGAATATCAAGTTGATTTGATGTTATGCATCACCGTGAGACGCGGATGCTGGTTGATTCTCGGATCTCCAGCTGCGAAGCAAGCCGCGTTTTTTGTCTGAAAGTCAAGGAAAAATTGAAACTGACGTCTCTTGCACGTCAATATATGTTCTCCAACGTGACATTATTGTGTTCTCGCACTCAAATCGTGTGCATCACCGTGAAAGCCGCGTTCTTCATCTGAACGTCGAGGAAAAATTGAGGCTGAACTCTGTTCACGAGCTGAAAGTCGAAAAAGAATTGAAGCTGAACCCCATACATAGGCTGACGTTTTTTGTATGACAATATATGTTGATTGACGTCATATGACCCCGAAATGACATGATTTTGACATACTAATTGAGATATCGATTTGATGTCCTGAATATCAAGTTGATTTGATGTTATTGATAAGTCATTATTGTGTACTCGCAACAATTCTCCAATATGGATCCAATAACTTGGTAGATTTCAATGCGAACAAAACACAAGCATGACTTCTCGAGAAAAGCCGGCCTCACTGTGCCCAACATAAGCTTGTCAGGAGAAACCATACCTTTGAAGACATCTATTTCTATGCTTGGTATTACGATCAGCAAAAACCTTTCTTGGGAAAATCACGTGAGATCAATTGCTATTTTACTTCCAGTTAGCTGCTTATGATCTATAATGCAAAGATACAACCTGTCCTGGAATAATATTCCCATATTTGGAGTGCAGCACCCAAACATACCCTGAAACTGTTGAATTCTGCCCAAAAAAGGGCAATTCGTCTCGTGGGTGATGCCTCGCTCATAAACCTACTCACTTCTCTGGAACACCGTAGAAAAGTTAGCGATCTGGCTCTACTTTATAGATACTTTCATGGATGATGCTCTTCTGAAATATCAACAATTGTTCCTCCCTTGGCAGTCTCCGCGAGATTAACCCGTCGAGTTGAGGCTTCGCACACCTTCGTGGTCACATTGGAGACCTGCAGAACATGTCTTTCCAAAGACCCGTTCATCCAACGAAAAGCGAGGCTCTGGAACACAATGCCAAGGGAGGTGTTCTTCGAGGCATATAACCTCCAGAAATTCAAGAGGAACACCAATTCCTACCTTATTTACCTTGGTTCTCACGATGTTCTCTGAACATTACAGAATATCCCTTTCCGTGGGAACCAGAACATAGAAGAAATATATTTATTTTTGAATGAGCTGCGCATATATTATGAAACACATATGGAATACAGTTGGCGTGGAGCAAATTGTAACACACTGCATCATAAAAAACGATGCGTTGGAAACTCACCTCAACTTGACAGTTTTCACTAGGATTTTCCGAGGAAGGCAGATAGTGTTTCTCGCCGATTTGGTGCATTTTGAGCATTCCATTGGTGTAGCTGCGCAATTCCGAGGTCTTTTCGAACGTCACCCCGTATACTTGAGAGCCGTCCAAGAAATGGGTTGCTTGATTGAGCTGAAACCAGTTCAACCATCACATATACAATATAAATCGTAAAATAAAGATACACAAAGTCGGTCGACCACACTATGTGAAAAATTAGTCAATTAAACAGTAACCGGTTTCGGCACATCGGCCATCATCAGACTATTGTACCTAAGATAAATGATGAATGTAGAAAATTGTAAAGAATAATTTTCACTTATAATTAATTATATCTATCGACTCATTTTTGATATTTCCATATCTACTCGAAGTGACTGATAGTGAATTCCATTGGTAAAACTGGCTCGCACTGAGTGCATATTTTGTATTCCATTGGTAAAACTGATGTCGGATTTTGAATTCCATTGGAAAACTGGTTCGCATAGTTTAGAGCTCAGTGCAACAATTCTCGCACGAGCTCTAATAGGTCGTGCGAAGTCAGTGCAGTTTTGAAAATGGCGGAAACATTGAATATGCATGGTTTAAAAACCAAAAATGAGTGGCAATCTAATCATCATCATCATCAAGTAGTGATGAAAATTTGGAGGTTTCAAGAAAATAAGAGAGATTACTCATTACTCCCCAGAATTCATAATTTTGTAGAGTGTTTTGCACTATAATTCAATGATGAAGAGGTACTTATTAAAAAAACTGCTCGAAATTATTTCCATGAAACATCTACTTTGTTCTTAATTGAAGTCAAGAAAGAATTTCAGGATGCGGACAAGTTATAAACAAAGACAAACAAATTTATCCGATTTAACCTCCAACAATAAAATTTTATTATATTGTTTCGTATTCCATTGGGAATGCACCAGTTCACATTTTGGAGAGAACTAACGTAGTGCGGGTGCAAAACTGGTGCAAAACCAGTGCACCACCAGGTTTACGAATGGAATTCGCTATTACATTTTGAAAGTTTAATTGAGTGAACGTCAAACTCTGTCATTACCATACTGACTCGATGTTTCAACAGTGACAATTTACCGGGGCACTCATCAGTTAAATGTTTGTCTGATTCGCTCATATTGGTCACGTGTTCATAAATACGTAGATATGATAGGTTAAAATTACATGAAAAAAATTTCCACAGAAAAAACGAACCTTGTAAAGTCACAATAAATAATAAGAAGTTAAAACATCATTGGGTTGACCATCAAGGCAAGTCGGGTGGAAATATGTTTAAAACGGCTGGAGAGCCAGAAGAATCTGGCCTTGTTGGGGGTTGACTTCTGAAAATAGTGACACTTTGTTCCACAAGCGCATTTTGCATTTGCGAGGCGGAGTGTTTAGCGAAGCCGAGCGAAAGCAAAATTTGCGAGTCAAACAAAATCACTTTTTTGATCCGAATGAAACATGCTATTTTTTCTGCGATCGAAACAATTGACTCGAATGAATTGTCTGTAAGTTTAGAACGGTATTTTTCAGAAACTGCTCATCAAAATCAAAAAATGTGAACAAACCACTATTTATAGAGATATTTCAAGAAAAAGTTTGAAATTTCACCTTCCTTTTTCCCCTTGGGTTGGATGCATTTACAGCTTCTTGCTCTTTTTATTTTGTCTACTCATGATGTACTTCAATTAATGACACATTTATATATATAGAAAATGCTAATGTATGACAATGCATTACACACGCCATTATTTCAAATGACATTCTTCCTTCTGTTTACTAAATATGAATAAATCACAAGAAAATCATATTTCTAGTTGACTCATATTATAATAGAAAAAAAAATGTGTCGTACATTGTGATATACTTCTAATCGCGTCTTTTTCGAGATACAGGGTAGAGCTCTGCACGGGCCGGGCCAACCCGCGCGGGCTTAGGCCCGACCCAATCCGCACCGCGGGTCGGGCCGCCACGAGCCTGAAGAATGTAGCGTGTGGGGCGGGACGGGCCGATTCATAAGAAGTGCGGGGCAGGCGGATTCATAAAAATGAGCTCGGCGGACCGTGCGGGTCCCGCGGACCGTGCGGGTCCCGCGGACGTGCGGGTTCCGCGGACCGTGCGGGTTTCGCTGACCGTGAGGGTTCCGCGGGCCGTGCGGGTTCCGCGGACCGTGCGGGTCCCGCGGGCCCTGTGGATATATAGCATTCAATCATTCAAATATTAACATTTCAAGCACATCAGCATATCATTGATATCGAGTGAAAATTCAGGGTGGGATTTTTTCCTTAGGTCCTTAGGTCAAGCTATATTTGAAGTTTCTTTCCATAAGTGGGTTACGCGGGCTGAGTGAGCCACGCTGGCCGAGTGAGCCACGCTGGCCGAGTGAGCCACGTGGACCGAGTGAGCCATGCGGGCCGAATGAGCCACGCGGGCCGAATGAGCTACGCGGGCCGAGTGAGCCACGCGGGCTGAGTGGGCCACGCGGGCCGAGTGAGCTACGCGGGCCGAGTTTGAGTAAACATGAGGGTCATGACGCGGGTCGGGCTAAAATGTTGTCAACTGCGGACCGCGCGGGCCTGCGTTACATTTTATGCCGTGCGGGTTGCTGCGGGTCGGGTTCTATTTTAGGAACATGCGGGTTGGGGCGGGCCTCTAAAATCTGGCCCGTGCAGAGCTCTAATACAGGGTGTTGAAAATTCGAATCTAAATATTGTTTTTTGAGGATAAACCAACAAAATTTCTCACAGATACTGAACTTTTCACGCTCTCCAAGATGGAACAGTGTGCATAGCATTCTTGTCAATCAAATATTATGATTAAACTGAAAATGTTACTATATTTCTGAACCGATTCAACTCGTAAACGGCGAAACGCATCAAAAACTCACAAGTGAGCTTCTTCACGCAGAGACCGTATTTCCAGATTCTGAACTACAAATTGAGAAAGAAATGTACATATAAAAATTGGTCTGATTTTTTTCTTCACTGCCCCCAGATTCAGCCGCCACTGGATTACTATCGAAAACGACGCATTTATAAGTATATGTTTATTTGAACTGTTTTTATTATTTCAATGAGTAAAACACATTGTTGAATGTTTCGTATTACAAAGCGGACCACTCTGTATATAAATTGTCCAATGATGAAAAAAGAAGGGCAAATTGTTCTAAATGCGATCCAGAAAACAGGTGGAAAAGAATGTGAAATTTGTAACTTCATAGTGATATATCTTGATAAATAATGGTTTGTTCACATTTTCATCATCAAATTCGTGTTTTTCAGACAAAAATACGTGAGTACCAAAAAAACTTTTCGAAAAAAAACCATCGCATGATAAATGCAGTTTCACCAAGTCGACTACGAAAGAGAATGGGCAAATGGTTTGAGCAAAAACATTCTATCGTTCAGAACATTCGGGTATTTTATCGTGTGTTGAGAGAGAGTTTTTTGTTGCAAAAAATATCAGAGACAGCATTCGTATAGAAATTATTATCGAGAACACATCGTGGTCGAGTATTTTATGCAGTGTGGTTTTTTAATTCAGTTTTGTGCATAGGAACCATTATCCCCTTAGATCCAGTGAGTTTATTGGTGTAAGGTAGGCCTACCAAGAAAAAGTTCAACATAGGTACAGCCTGACCAACACGGCTACATTACAGTCCACGATATCGGGTGAGCCTATTTTAATTTTCATTAAATTAAAAGCTTTTATTCAACTTGCAATGTATGTATGGGAATCTTTGAACTCGATTTTGAAGTGAATATCTTCAACCGATTTAGCTGAAATTCTGTATACCTACACGTTTAGTTTGGATGGCAATGCACGATAAGGTTTGTGAAGTTATTCTTAATCCAATATGGCGGACCATCCAAGATGGCGGAATTGTTTTTTTCAATGCACTTCTACAATATGTGTATCAAATGAAAGGGCTCGTTGGAAGTAATTCGAGAAATAATGTGACGTTTATTTGAATTCAATATGGCGGACCATCCAATATGACGGAATAGTTATATTTTTAATGCACTTCTACAATATGGGTAACAAATGGAAGGGCTTGTTGAGAGTAACTCGAAAAATAATGTGACGTCATTTCAAATCCAATATGGTGGTACATCCAGGACGAGGTGAAAGTTATTTATAATGCACTTCTACAATATAGGTATCAAATATGGAAGGGCTTGTTGAGAGTAACTCGAAAAATGTCATTCTAAATCCAATATGACGGACTATCCAAGATGGTGGAATTGTTATTTCTAATTCACTTCTACAATATGGGTATCAAATGGAAGGGCTCGTTGCGAGCAACTCAGAAATTAATGTGACGTCATTTCAAATCCAATATGGCAGACCATCCAAGATGGCGGAATAGTTATTTTAATCTACATTTTTACAATATGGGTATCAAATGATGTAACGTTATTCTGAATCCAATATGGCGGAACTTCCAAGATGGCGGAATAGTTGTTATTCATGCACTTCTGCAATATGGGTATCAAATGGAAGGACTTGCCAAGAATAATTAGAAATAATGTAACATGACTCTAAAATCCAATATGACACACTAAGTCTGTGCAATTCACAGCAAAATGCCAATTCTATTATGTTGGGCTTGTATAGTACAAAAAATGCAAGGTACTACAGTAGAGAGCTTACTGTGGGTACTACCCACGTAGTACTGTCAACTACGCCGTTATTTACTCAGACTCGAAGCTCTTCGCTGCTGGTCAAGCATACGTGGCTTCAAGTAGGGTAAAATCATCAGAAGGTCTTCTTATTGAAGAGCTGGACTGTTCGATATTAACCGGCAAACGACCTTGCAAAAATGATGCGTTGAATGAAATGAACAGACTGAGAAACCTAGCCAGCGATAACTAAAAATTAAAACATAAATTGAAAGTAAAAAAAAATCAATAAAAAGCTATTATTTGAACACTCTAGAGAAAATAAAATGAAATGTTCCCTTATAATTTCAATTATCAACTTATAACATCAATCATAAAAGCTTGTTTAAACTCAGCAGATTTCACAAAATTAAATTAGTACTCATTTATTCACACAAGTAAATCGCACGACAAGCTTTTATGATCATATAAATTGTGTATAATGAGGTTATAAGTTGGTAGTTAAAATTATAAAGAAACATTTTATTTCATTCTTTTTAGAGCGTTCAAATGGAAGCTTTTTTCAGCTACCGTCTGTAAAGTGCTCACTTCCCGGACGCTTTTTCTTTGAGAAAGTAGCATTTTTCCGGCCCAGTCCGGGAAGTACGTACTTCCAGGACTAGTCCGGGAACTATCACATCGTCGTTGTCACTGTAACTATGACAATCTCGGTAGATATGGTTTTGATGAATGCAGAGATGATAGTTACCATAGCAGCGAAATATCAGCTGACAGCTATTTGACATGAAATTAGTTGACATTTTGATTTTTGAAAGTTTGGTTGCAATTATCGCAATAAACTATCGAAAGCAGCTGCGATATAGTGAGTTTAAAAATGTTCATACGAAATTTCCAATGTAGCAGTTAGTATAGGTAGAAGGTATTCTGTTCAAATTTCAGTTTTTGATACAAATGAGAATTATTAAAGAAATTGTATTCTACGAAGAAATATAATATGGAAATGTGTCTCATTGATTCGTTATTCTACATGTTTGCAGAAAAAATTGTGTACGCAACACGTCTAAAAACAATTTTTTTGGACTCGCAGACTTCCAGGACTCGCCTACGGCTCGGCCTAAAATGTTGTCTACTTGTCCAAAAAACAAACACAGTATTTTCCGGACTTGTTACGTGAATTACTATTTCAATACTTTCACCCAATCAAGGGGTTCAAACTTGAACGATGGAAAGTTGGTATTTTTATAGACCTCAATCACAGATTCGTGATTAGGATTTTTCTCAATTCAGAATTTCTTTCCACGTCCTGTATGATGAATAAACTTCGAATACAAAAGTTGTAGGGTCTGCTCTGAATCACCAGAAAATTGTACGATGTGAAACAAATGAACATCGCTGATATCAGAAATGGGTACCAACTTCGCTAATTCCGATGGAACACCCTATATATTTTTCGAGGAAATTGAAGATCTTTCGTCTCCGGTTTCAAATATACACCGTGTCCCAGCTGAAATGTCCCTCCCTGTAGAAAATCAACCGCGCAATTGAATGACTTGAAATTTGGTCACCCAGTATATTTGATGATGCTCACTGGCAATATGCCATTGAATGAATCGTAGGTACACAGGGTCACACCGAAGTGCACTTCAACTTTCTTATTTGAATAGGGACACCCAGTATATTATTCCATATTCAAGTAGAGTACATTATTACAAATTCAACAATGCCGAGTTTGATGGATTTTTTTCAAACGATTAAGAAGATATAGCAAAAAATAAAGCGATCTAATGAGAAATTGATATGATAACATTTTATTAATATAACACGATTGAAATCGAATGATGGGTGTCCTGCACATAACTACAGACCCGTAAAGGATTATCTTCGCCATCGGTTTGGAGAAAATCTAATAACCACCAATTGTCTCGATGGTGATAGCAACTGGCCAGCTCGGTCGCCAGACCTCACCCCACTTGATTTTTATTTGTGGGGCTACTTGGAACAACAGGTTTATGCGTCGCCAATTGTAAATATGAGAGAAATGAAAGAGAAAATCACAAAATGCGCACCAATTGATCACAACGTGCTATACATAGGGTCACAATGAATGTTATGAAAACAGCTAGGAAATGTTTGCAGCAGAATGGACGACATATTGAGCAGTTGAGGTTTTAATTATTTTCTTTTCATTCGATTTCGATCGTATTATATTAATAAAATCTAATCTTATTTGTATTGAATCGATTTATTTTTTGCCGAATCTTCGTAGTCGTTTGAAGAAATCTCATCAAACCTGGCATTGTTGAATTTGTAAAAATAAACTCTACTTGAATATGGAATAATATACTGCTCGGGGTGTCACTATACAAATTGAAAAGTTTAGGTGCACTTCGGTGTGACCCTGTCTACCAACGATTTATTCGAAAGCATATTTCGAGTAAGCATTATCAAATATACTGGGTGACCAAATTTCAAGTCAATCGATCGCGCGGTTGATTTTTTACAGGGGGGACATTTTAGCTGGGACACGGTGTATATAGGTTGTGGATATTAGGTTCAGCCGTTTCCAAAATATTCGAGGTTGACAATTTTTTAGTTACAATTTGGTTTTACCATATCGCAGATGCCATGAAGAATCAACAACACATATGCAAAGAATATATTACAGAAAGTTTGATTAATGACAACCTGCATATATTATGTGTTGTTGATTCTTCATGGCAATTGCGATTTGGTGAAATAAAACTATAACCAATTCTAGAATGTTCGACCTCGAATATTGCATAAACGGCTGAACCGAATATCAACAACGTATGTATTTTTGAAATCAGAAAAAAAAGATCTTCAAATATTCCGAATGTACAAGGTGTTCATTTCAGGACTTCCCACCCTGATTTTCTCGAAATCTGTGTATGTTTTTGTCCCGAGACACGTCAACAAATGTATCGAAGGGGACAAGTTTTCATCAGAAAATAAATGCGCTTCCTTTCATCCGCTGCAAGGGGGAGCTACCAACTACGAAATCTCAAATGCGAAGGGGTATCGAGTTATACCGTTACTTATACTCCATTTTGAAGCCCTCTCGAATCTCTACACGTCAGTACTTTTTTTTTCTAAAATTGTTCGATCCGTTGTCGAGATATTTTGGCATTCTGTTTGCTGCTGCGTACTATTGAAATAAAAACACTTCAACTGTTTTTTTCTTCTAGGTATCTACTTCCCATGTGCCTTGAAAGGTATACAAAAAAGTGTACTTGTTAAAGAAAATAAAAGACATATTGATTTGTTTACTATAATTATCAGATGTGTGATAGTTGTAATTTGATAAGGCACTGTAGTAAAAATGGTTCACACTGTAGCTGAAAAAGTCGAAATAGTGTCCATTTACGGAGCCGAAAATCGATGTGCTGGACGAACTGCCGCAATATTTAACGAGAGACACCCAGATAAGAACACCTCTCATCGGTATGTCCTCAATCTGATCGCCAAATTTACTCAGACAGGATCTGTTGCAAATTTAAAACATGATCAGCCAAGAGTTCTGACTGAAACCACTCAATTTGAAGTAATAGGTTATTTTGGTATGAGTCCTAATACTTCGTTATGTACCATTTCTACTGCAACTGGAGTTTCCTTAGGCTCTGTCCACAAAATTACAAAAATTAATAAATTCCATCCATATAAAATGAAAATCTGTCAAGAGTTGAGTGAAGACGACGATTTGTCAATAAACATAATTGCAGATATTGGAACAATGAAAATGACCATGTGTTTGTCGAAGGACATACCCAATATCCCCAAAAACCAAATGTTTGGGCTGGTATACTAGGAAACCAAGTAATTGGTCCTTTGTTCATCAATGGAAATCTAAATGGTGAGGTGTACTTGGATATGCTAGAAAATACGATCAATCCACTAATTACTGAAGCACTTGAAAATCAACTAGATAGGGATGGAAACACCTTTCTTGATGAAAACCAGTTACATTTTCAACAAGATGGAGCTCCCCCCATTATGTGCTTCCGGTCCGTCAATGGTTACATCATATATTTCCCGGTAGATGGATAGGGCGAAGAGGACCTATAGAGTGGCCAGCCAGGTCCCCGGATTTAGCACCATGTGATTTCCTTTTTTGGGGACATTTGAAATCAGTTGTTTACACACGCCCGCTGCAAAATTCACAAGAGCTTCGACAAAGGATCACTGCAGAATTTCAAGCACTTCGACCAGGAATATTTGAAAATGTGCGCCACGCATTTGAACAGAGGTTATACCATTGCTTGGGCAATAATGGACAACATTTTGAGCAATTACTGAAGTGACAGTAGTGTAAAATATTGATATTCAGGTTTGAAGTAAAAGGAATGAGAATAAACAGTTACAGTTTGTATTTCAATGGTACACGCATCAGAAAACTGATTTTCCTAAATAGCTCGACAACGGATCGATCAATTTCGAAAAACGAAAAACTGACGTGTAGAGATTACAGAGACCTTCAAAATGAGGTATGACTTGATGCCCCTTCGCATTTGAGATTTTGCAGTTGGTAGCTCCCCCTTGCAGGGGATGAAAGGGGGCGCGCGTTCATTTCCTGATGAAAACTTGTCCCCTTTGATACATTTGTTGACGTGTCTCGGGATTTTTTGAAAACATACACACATTTCAAGAAAATTAGGGTGGGAAGTCCTGAAATGAACACCCTGTATGTTGTTCCATTGAAAATTACGAAGTTGGTACCTATTTCTTATATCAGCGATATTCATTTGTTTCACCTCGTACAATTTTTCAATTTTTGAATTTGAAGTTTCTTCCTATCTTCAATGTTGAACCCTGTAGAACATGTTTAAATATACGGAATGACCCTGTACAATGAAAGTCATGAATTTTTCAACAGAAATCCCTGTTCTCGCCTATTCTTACCTAATGCTTATTATTTTCGCTTACTTGGTTGATCCATCCGAAGCGGCAATCGTTCCCTACGGCGGGCAGGGACCTAGCGTAACTTATGCAACTCAAACCGCTGGCGAAGGTGTACTCGTTATCCGGGGGCACCCCGACGGCCATGCAAAGTGGATGGAGGTATCTGGGCGCCAAATTGCGCCCATCGCGATCGCAGCAATCGAACGAAATGTTGTAGTGATCTGGGACAGATTAAAATATTATGCTACGTTCATGCAAAACACAAATAGTAGATTGTTTTATTAGGATCAAAAGTGACACTTTGTTTGACAAGCGCATTTTGCATTTGCGAGGCGGAGCGTTTAGCGAAGCCAAGCAAAAGCAAAATTCGTGAGTCAAACAAAGTCACTTTTGATCCGAATGAAACATGCTATTTTTTCTGCAACTGAAACAATTCACTCAAATAGATATGTGAACTATATGCAACGAATATTGACAAATAATCCGTGAGGTGAGAATATTCTACCTGCATCAAAAGCAGGTTTATTCAACTTTCAAGGATGTTCGAATTGTAGTTTCAATATGAATACAACCACAGAGTGACATATTTGTGTATGGACCAGGTGCTCTAATGGCAAATACTGCGTCAGTGCCAGGCCAGGTATAAGAACAAGATGAGGAAAATGTTAGGTTAGTGAGCATATCAACAATAATAACAGCGATTATTTATTCCTCTTCATACTACACTGTGTTTGACTTGATAATCAAATGAGGGTGAAGAATATCGTTGGTTGAGACAAAAAACAATTGCTTGCCGTGATTATTCAAAAACAAGTTATCCATCCCGAGAATAACGAATGAAATACAGATCGAGCAAGTATGTGAATCTTGAAGGCTTCCCTGATCAAAACAAAAATACTCAACTGAGATGTTTATAATTCCCATACTCAACCATAATGAGGTGTTATTATATCTCCAGCATGGGTATGAAATGCCAAATCTGCCGAAAAGCTCCAATACACTTAAAGTGTTGCGTAAGTAGAGGGACCATGTATGTTCTGGGGCAAGCCAATCAGAGGTCAGCATAGAGTTTGAGGCCACGCCTGCTAAACCAATCCGTGGCACTTCCGTGACGTTTCTGACTTCCGTGACACTTCCGTGATGTTTCCGACTTCCGAAGTGCCACGGAAGTGTCACGCGAGTTGGAAACGTCACGGAAGTGCCACGGATTAGTTTAGCGAGCGTGGCCCCAAACCGAATGCTGGCCTCTGATTGGCTTGCCCCAGAACGTTCATAGCCCCTCTACTTGCGTAGCAACATACATACTAATTATTTCATTGTGTCAGTAAGAGGAACATCAACTTCAAAAGCTAATTTGAAAATGAAAAAATGAACTATTGAGCCGAATGCAGAAAAATCTTTATTCATCGCATATGGCATCATGCCATTACAAACTTTGTTTATCAACACACTTCGAGAGCTTCAAAAACAATCCAACACATACTCAGAACATATAGTGATATTCATGACCATAACAACAGACATGCGATGAAGATAGGTACGTAATTCTCGGTTCAGACTTACTGTATCTCCGTTAAAATTTTTGGATTACAACATTTACAACCTCATTGAATTAAAAATCTCTGTTTCATCAAATTCAAGAATGAATTTAAGCTATATATCCTCTAATATTGTTTCTAATCACTGGAAGGATATTTTCAAGGTGATCATACACTGGCTTAAGTAATAATATGGATAAATTCGCTATCAATATGTGTCCCTATATTTTTTTCCTCTATTTGTTCTTTACATTTAATCTGTACCAATATCTTTATATTGTTAGCCTTAACTTCATTCTATTCATAGTTATGAATCTTTTGACCTGCTATAAATGTATGTACAGTGTACGTAATATGGTTAAATAAAGTACTTTATTCTCTATTCTATTCTTACTTGCTTTTATAGACCTTCGCGTGTTAAAGACTCTTTCTTTCACCGTACCGTCCATATATAAACGCCTATTTTACGCCCTTGATTGGCATCTTCATGTTGGTAAGATGAAAAAATCAATTTTCCATGTTACGATAAATAAATAGCTTCATGTGACGGCAAAAAAGTTTGACATTCCATCTCTGTTTTCATCAGGTTACAAAATGTCACTTTTCATAAAACTCCTTTTTTCCCACGGGAAAAAACTTGGTGGCTTTTGTCGTACCAGCTTCGAAAAATAAGCCAATAACACCGTCTTCGAGAAAGTCATGTCATGTCACTATGAAAGCACTGCTTTTAGTGACACTATGTTCGTATTTCAACTTCACAGAACCATAATGATTGAAATGTATTGCTAGTGGTAAGAAAAATTCAATATACACCTTGGTAGTAAATAATATTATTACCACGGGACCTTATACCTCTCGGCTGAGGCCTCGGGATATAATCTTGGTCCCTGACTAATAATGATATTCTTCACTACCTGGTGTACAAATACCTATTATGCACGACCGGGCGTAAAGTAGCACTTCATCTTCCAGTTTTGTTGGCGTGAAGTAGCACTTTACCGTCCGGTTTGGTGAACGTGAAGTGGCATTTTACCAACCGCTGACTATTTTATCGCCCATAAATATCATATACTAGGTTAGGTTAGGTTAGGTTCCATGTGAGTGGGGCGGATACCTCCCCTCCACTGCGACCCCAGATGGATCTATTGTGGCTCACCCCTAGAGGTTACAGTTCACCGTACAATCCACATCTTTTTACAAAGTTCATGGTTGAATTGGGTGAGATTTGTCTGAAATCGATAGGCTCTGAATTGGTAAAGCCAAATGTGTCGAACCTTAGTCTTTCTAAGCTAGAGCATGAACATAATATGTGTTCAGCCGTTTCGTCTTCCACACAACAGAATCGACAGTCCGTTTATTGGTTCAGACCCATCCTTCCCAGGTGGTATCTTAGACGACAGTGTCCCGTAAGCAGTCCAGTCAGAATTCGTAGGTTACCCCAGCTCCATTCTAGGATCTGCCTTGTTATTTTTTCCGATGGTTTAGGCAGGAACGCCTTCGAATGGGTTAATCCTGGTAATTCAGACCAGTACGTGAGTGTTTTTCCCTCCGCCCAGCCCGAGCTAGTTGTTTTCGCCGCACTTGCGGTGACCCCAAAATATGGTTCTGGTCCTATGAACACAGATTCCGTTCCCTGTTTGGCGAGGATGTCGGCTTTCTCGTTACCCTCCACCCCCTGGTGTCCAGGCACCCACAGCAAAGTGACTGTGTTGTTAGCACCCAGGCATTCTAGGGATTCAATACAGCTCCATACAAGCTTGGAATTTATCTTGCTGGAGCTCAGTGCTTCAAGAGCAGCCTGACTGTCTGATACAATACTGATATTTTTGTTTACTAGAGGTTTATTCGACAACTCTCTAGCACACAATTCAATTGCGAATACCCCCGCCTGAAAGATTGTAGCATATTTGCCGAGATTGACGGAAATATCATATACTTAGTATATACCAATAGGATATTTAGTATCGATCTTCTTCTAAAGATGATAACATACCAAAATACGTGTAGAGACAGTAAAAAATCGGTTTGGTTAGCGGTAAGACAATGTAGTGTCTCTTGGCCACGTTTTCATGCATAATAATCTTCCGCCAATACTTACACATCACTGGAAAGGCAAATCTACTCAGATCATGTTCCAGGAATTGGCCCCATTGAATTACAGCTAGCGTCAATCGATCATTGGCAAATTTAATCTCGTCAATGATGGCACTTCCGACTCTTCTTGCATTTGGTAAAGCATCTTTGTTTCGAGCTCTTCTCACGGTATTGATGTTATCGGAGTAATCAGGAGCTAATAATCTACGGAAATGTTATCATTCATCATCAGATAATTAGCAGTGTAATAGGTGGTGGTGTGCATTGACATTGTTTATAACCGTTGTAATCTCGCGGGGACTGCCGAGGGAGGAACAATTGTTGATATTTCAGAAGAGCATCGTCCATGAAAAGAGCCAGATCGTCAACTTTTTTATGGTGTTTCAGCGAAGTGAGTGAGTTTGTGAGCGATCCATCACTCACGAGACGAATTGCCCTTTTTTGGACAGAATCCAACAGTTTCACAGTATGTTTGGGTGCTGCACTCCAAATATGGAAACAGTATTTGAGGAGAGGTCGAATCTGTGCCTCATAGATCATCAGCAGCTGACTGGGAGTGAAATAGCTCCTGGCCCGAAACAGAAAACCAAGTTTTTGGGATTCACTTTTAGCAATTGATCTCACGTGATTTTCCCAAGAAAGGTTATTGTTGATAGTAATCCCAAGCATCGAAATAGATGTCTTCAAAGGTATGGTTACTCATGACAAGCTTATGTTGTAAGATCGGCTCTTCTATAAGTACTAAGTTTTACATTTGCGTTTTTGTAGTTGTACTTACGGCATTACAAGGTCGGCCATTGCTGTCATACTTGGTGTTTTTGGAGCAAATAAATCCATTTGAATCAACTTCGTGCTCATTTCTATTTTGAGGCCAGTAAATCCGAGCACACTATATTTGGAAATTTTCAAATTTCATAACGGTATTTCGTTAGGCATGAAATTGCGCAATTTTGCCATGATTCAACCGACCCTGCATCTTTCATGGTTTCCGAGATTCCAATGATGATGTTCGTATTAAGATGGATTTATGCAGCAACAATTAACAATTATCGAGTAGCATTTATCATTTAACAAGTAGCAGATTCGTGATAGAGGCTCAATTCCGAATTTATTTTCACGCCCTGTATGATGAATGTCAATTTATCATACACCCAGAAGCAACAAGTAAGAAGTTGGCCAACTTTCAACTTTCTTACTTCAATGGGCTTATATCACAAAAAAAAATTATTTCATAATTCGATAGAACTCACCCAAACTAGCTCACCCCCGCAAACCGTGTCTTGCTGTGAGCTCCCTACGTTTTATAAAAAATTATTGAAATTCCCGAATTTTTCGGACCTCTGAAAACGAGGCGATGATGTGACGTCAAAACCCTAATACTGAAACAAGACTCTTCCAGACAGAGATGAATGATACATGATTTCTGACAGAGTGAATTAGCGCGAGATCACAGTTGAAAGAATTGATATATCAGTTGCCTCAGTCACCGAACATAAACTCTGTTTATGTTCGGTGCCTCAGTCTCCGTCGGGCGTTTGGTATTTTCTTTTAACTATGGCGAAATGAGGTTTCTACGTCATAAGAATTCAGACAGATATGTTATTTACATGGATATGACCAAAGCATTTGATAGACTTGACCATAATCTGATACTGCAAAAACTGTCGAATTTCGGGTTATCGACTAACCTACTTGCATTATTCAAATCATATCTGTCCAATCGCACACAGTATGTACAGTTAAATGGATTCAGGTCGAAGAACTACTTGGCCAAATCAGGTGTACCACAAGGATCTAACCTCGGTCTACTATTGTTTAACATCTTCATCAATGACATTGGTGACATAATTGAACTGAATTCTTTATTGTATGCTGATGATCTAAAAATTTTCTCCTCTATAAATAATATGAATGACTGTGAGGAACTATCGGAAAATCTTAATCAGATCAGCCAATGGTGTAGTCGTAATAATCTAGCGTTGAATCCTGCCAAGTGTTGCGTAATGTCGTATACACTAAGGTCTGATCCAGTTCTATTTGACTATAAGATAGACAACCATTCTCTAGACAGACCATCTAATTTTAAGGATCTTGGAGTTACCTTCGACCGAGAGCTGTCTTTCCAAAACCATGTAGACAATATAAGTACGTCAGCAAGCCGTATGTACGGATTTCTAATTAGAGTAGGCAACAACTTTAATCATGTCACACTCAAAACTCTTTACTATGCTTTTGTCAGATCGAAGCTAGAATATGCGTCAGTTATCTGGAACCCATATTATCAAGTGCATATCTATAAGCTGAAGGCAATCCAAAGACGCTTTCTCAAATACTTAAGTTTAAAATCAGATCGGACTTATCCACCAATTGGCACGTCACACGAGAGTTTATTGTCAAGACATACCTTTTTCAGCCTGGATCAAAGACGGAAATGTTCTGGTGTCATTACGCTACATAAAATAATTAACAATAAAATTAGATGTCAATGCTTACTACATCAGATAAACTTCAAAATTCCCCGTCAGGCATCTCGATGCACCGACTCATTCTACATTACCACGCCGCGAACAAATATATACAAAAACTCTCCTGTTCATACTATGTGTAGCAACTTTAACTTTATAAGTAACCAGCTTGATATATTTCATTGTAATGTGAGGCAAATCAAAAACTATTATAATCAGCAGTAATATTCTTGTATTAATCTCTTACTTTTTACTAATGTAGTCCTATTGTGTAAATTGTGTATTATGCCAAGTTTTTTCTATTGTTTCTTTCTATTGTTTGTTTTCTATTGTTTACTTTTGTGCAAATTTTTACTTAGTTCCTGTTCTGTAATTGGAAATCTTTTTTTCTGTAGAACAGTGTAAATAAATAAATAAATGAATAAATAAATAAATAAATAAATAAATAAATAAATTCAACTGGTACAGAAGGCATGGATGGGTCAGACCTGATATCTGACAGATGTTATGGAATTTGTTTTTACATAAAACAATTGCAATCAACAAAATAATTGTGAATAAAAGTAACACAGTTTCTTCCAGATCAGAAAACATTATGAAATTCGAAATTTTAGCTCCTCATGTAAATTGTGAACAAAGAGTTTGTAAGGTTATGGCTTTGATGGTCCAGATTTAGGTCATGTGCGCTTGCGTACTATGAATCCATTAATTGTTAATTTGGTTTGCATGAATGTCAATATTCTCACCACTTGTTAATTGATAATTGTTGATTGATAAATGTTGCTTGATAGTTGTTAAATGTTGCTGCATAGATCCACCTCCACTGTATGTGAGGTTCAGTATACCAAAACATACGCAAATGGAAATGGAGATTTGGCATTCAGACACGAGCCATTCACCTGGTTGGTGATGCCACACTCACTACTCCATTGACATTGTAGAAAAGTCCGCGATTTCCCTCTTTTCTATACACAGTGTGTTTCTCAACCTTCCTGACAAAATGAAACAAATGAATCATCACTTAATTTCAAGACAAAACTGTAAATGTGCAATAGAGTGGACAAAGTGAGTTAGGAAAACACCTAAAGTGATCAAATAGTTGTCACATTCGTTGCATAATTCGAAAATAAAGTTTGAAATTTCAAAAAATAAGTGGCGTATATTTTTTGTCAATAATATTGGTTGAGGTGCCCCTCCGAATGCCGCTGGACTTGGATTTTTCTCATTATTGGCTTGATGAGTACAAGAGTCTCGAGATCATACCCGTGTGTTCACCGAACACGCCCGATCGTTCCCTAAGCGGTGGGGAAACGTAAACGGGCAGCAGTAATTACGTTATGAATATTGGCGCGTGCCTGAATTATTTTGGAGTCAAATTTGTCAATTTAATGTACTTCGAAACGGAACACTAGTAGTTGTGCCTTCTTGTTTTACATATATTATAGGTAGACATCAAATCAATAAACATAGTGCTCTCGCCATCGGTATTTGCTGAACTTCGCTATGGGAAAAATGTTGGGATGAATAATGATCTATACAGGGTGTATCTAAATAACACCGATCTAATTCAAGGGATGATTCCTTGTGATATAATATGATGAATAAAGGTCATATAAACATGTGTCCTGAACTTGCTTCGTTTTCGAGGTACAGAGGGTCCTGATTTCGAATCCGTGATTTTTAACCTATCTTACCTCCTAATATCATTTTCCGGAAATGTTGGTGGGTCCATGATCAGAGCAGTGTTTTTCACTGAAGATTACCTCACTTTGGTCATAGTTGGTATATATATCTATCGCTCCTTAAAATTGAACAGTTACGTGCGTTAGATATACTGGTTGATATTCCATTATAGAAGTGACATGCACACTGTTTATATTTTTAAATACATCCAGTGGGGTTGAATTTTATTTTATGTTGAATATTAGAGTGTGTGTTTTTTATGTGATATATTTGTTTTGTTTATTTCAAATATATATATTTTTTAGTAGGCATACTATATAGTACTTCTTTTATATAATTCTGAAATCTGATCCACCCTGTATTTGTTTCAATTAAATGGCATCAGTAGATAGTAAATAGAATGTTAGGATAGGGACACATGTAAGCCATTTTGACAAATCAATATAGGTATTGTATAGTTTCGATACAAAGAAAATCTCGATTTTTCACATTCTACGTATAGGTATACCTTGAGCTTGATCAATGAAATCATAGCTCAATTAGAAGAATCGAAAAATGTAATAAAATATAAGGTGTTCCATTTTGAATAACAAAGCTGCTACTATACTATACTACTAAGTACTACATAACTACTAATAATAATTTCTAGTGAAGCAGATGAACATTATCGAAAATAATTTGAATAAAAACGAGCGTCCTCGCCAACAAAACATAAGCATATAATATGTACATATAGTTTCATGATTTTCGATGAGTGGTTCGCTATTTACATGTAGGACTCGTCGTGACATAGCCTCGGACATAACGAATTATTGCAAATCAAATCATCGCTTTCATTATCTGATAGGTCGCAGTAGATCACTTGATGCCAATCAAATGTTTCTTATTTATTCGAAAAAAAAATGTTGAAATGTGATCAAGAAAACTGTTGGTGGCCCACCCCGTACTACAAAAACAAAGACAGCATGAGAAAAGCTGCCTGCTCTCGGTCTCCCCACCGCTTAGGTAACGATCGAGCGTGTTCGGTGAACACACGGGTATGATCTCGAGACTCTTGTTTGATGAGTCCCTAATGAATAACGTTATCACATTTCAACGAAATTGTGTGAAGCATGTCTGAATTAGAAATAAAAAACTGGTTTCAGGACAAAATTTTCTCAAAACCTTGTGTTTGGAAAACTGAGTGACATACGAAAACATGCTTTTCTACATTTTCATCTCAAAATCGGGCGATGATTCGCTACTCTCATTTTGTCAGAGAGGTTAAGAAACACCCTGTGTATACATCTATGGAAAATGTTCTTCAGAAATCTGTTCTGTCAGTCAAACAAACTAGACAAGTGCAGTCAGCACATCTTTTCGTCGTCTACCTCGAAATATGTCGAACAGCTCTCTATCAAAACTTGTTCGCCTATAAAATGTCGAATTTTTGGATTTCTTCGCCAAAGGAGCAAATATGAAAAAATAACAAAATAACTGTACCTTGTATATCCAGTGAATGATTCTCCCAAACTGCTCTTCTTGATGTTATTGCAGGAACCTTCTGCCGATCGGTACATGTTTTGGTATTCTTCAGGAGAACACTTTTTCTCTAAATGGTCACAAACGGATTTCAAAGACGAATCCTTCAGACTGAATTTGTTGATAGCAGCTAAGCAATCGTCATAGTTCAGTTTATAACTGCAAATAAATTTCCGATTCATTTTAAGAACCTTCACAAAGTGTTTTTCGAATAATAGTTATTAAATACTGTCTGTAGGTTAATCGAGGAGGTGGTAAAATCATTTTACCTAATTTTTTGGGATTTTCTCTCCTCGTTTCTATAAAATAAAAATATGCGTATTATTTCAATATCGATATTTCTTCGATATATCTATATTTCTTTTTTTACATTCATGCAAAAAACAGAACTTTATTGAACTATATTTAGTGGAAAAAGAAGTTCTTTATTGCACTTAGTGCAATAAAGTTTTTATTGCACTCATCTGTCATTCTACTTCAACGTGCTGTCATCATGACAAACATTTTCTATAAGGCAACTGTGGTTATAGAAACGTCAGTCAAAAATTAATTCTGACAATTAACAGAATTGTACCTAGTGCCGCACCTCAATAAATCATTTTTTGCTTTTTGCATGAACGTAGAAAAAATGTTGTATGCAACTCGTGCAAAAATTGTTTATTGCACTCGACGTGTTGTCCAACTCGGCCTAACGGCCTCGTCGGACAATTTCACGTCGAGTGCAATAAACATTCACTTTTTGCACTTGTTGCATAAATAACTATTCCTTCAAAAACCTTTTCAAACAAAGTGTCACTGACAAGCTACTGGATTTTGACATTTTGGGGCAAATCATCTGTCCCCGCATAATACGCATATTTTTATTCTATTGAAACGAGGAGAGAAAATCCCAAAAAATCAAGTAAAATGAACAGTTATCAAGCCAACTCATGCATTGATCAGGGCGATTTGTGATATCGAGATATTTCATTGGTAATCTTAGTATGTATATTTGTTTATTTGTAATGGAACCTTCGAATGTGATTTTGAGCCTCTTCAAGTGTACATAATTCTGGGGACAATGCATCATGAAATTCTTGTTGAAAAAAAACATAATGGCGGCTCCAAAATGGCACACGAGTTTTGTTATTATGATGCGATTTCATTCAAAATTGTTATCTGAAGGTTTTCGGGGTCGGAAATTATGATTCTTTTGTCAAAATTAGGCAATGCAAGATGGTGGATCCAATATGACGAACGAGTTTCCTAATTATGATTTGATTCCATACAAAATTGGTATAAGTGAATTTTCGAGGTCGAAGATCATGATTTTTTTTTTATGTTCTGGTTTCCACGAAAGAGGATATCCTGTAATTAAATACAAAAAGCTCAAAGTCATTTCCACACAATGTTCATAAAATGAACAACAATGGTAGATTTCAGGAGAAAAACAACTACTTCCCTGGCTAATGCCACGCAGGACATTGAATTACATCCTTCCGAAATCTATGTATCGACTCGTATAAACGAATACTGATACAAGTGATTCTTTCCTGAATGCCTATTGATTTTGATTTAGCCAGGCCGCTAGACAGCCACAGACTGGTTTCGAGCTCTTTGACTCTCATCAGTGCAGTGTAGTCTCCAGCCAGCAGTCCTAAGACTGCCGACTCAGCGAAGCCAAGCCAAACAAAAATCAAGTTGGCATTATATTCACCCCGAGGCGTCTTTCATCGACATCGACTTCGTGGCCAGGGAAGTAGTTGTTTTTCTCCCGGAATCTACCACTGTTGTTCATTTTATGAACATAATGTGGAAATGACTTTGAGCTTTTTTTATTTATTTACCATTTCATTCCACTTTGAGCATTGTGGCTATTTCGTAGTTGATATTCTGTAATGTTTAGAGAACATCGTGAGAACAGAGGGCAATAAGGTTTTATGCCTTAGGCAACACCTCCCTTGGCAATGTGTTCCAGAGCCTTGCTGTTTGTTGGATGAACGAGTCTTTGGAGAGAGATGTTCTGCAGGTCTTCAAAGTGACCACGAAACCACGAAGGGGTGCGAAGCCTCAACTCGACGGGTTAATCTCGCGGGGACTGCCAAGGAAGGAACAATTGTTGATATTTCAGAAGAGCATAGTCCATGAAAATATCTATAAAATAGAGCCAGATCGCCAACTTTTCTTCGGTGTTCCAGAGAAGTGAGTGAGTTTGTGAGCGAGGCATCACCCACAAGACGAATTGCCCTTTTTTGGACAGAATCCAACAGTTTCAGGGTATGTTTGGGTGCTGCATTCATAATATAGATCATAAGCAGCTGACTGGAAGTGAAATAGCTCCTGGCCCGAAACAGAAAACCAAGTTTTTGGGATGCACTTTTAGCAATTGATCTCACGTGATTTCCCAAAGAAAGGTTATTGCTGATAGTAATACCAAGCATCGAAATGGATGTCTTCAAAGGTATGGTGACCCCAGACAAGCTTATGTTGGGCACAGTGAGATCGGCTCTTGTAGAAAAAAGGCATGCTTGTGTTTCGTTCACATTGAAATCTACCAAGTTATTAGATCCCCATTTGAGAGTTATTGCCAAGTCCATATTCATGTAGTCAACATTTCTCTCTCATTCGTTTCTGATTTGCCTGGCTGGTATTGGAACCCTGAAAGAGAAGGTGGTATGGAGGGTACTATCATCCGCAAAGCAGTGTACTGGACATGAAGTTGCTTCAAACAAATAGTTTATTACATGGAGTATATATTGTTGGTGCTAGAATTGATCCTTGCGGAACACCAGCATTCATGATAAGAGAGTCAGATGAAACTCCGTCGACCACTACATGGAGAGACCTGTTTGAGAGAAAACTAGCTAGCATAGAACATAGCTCAGGAGGCAAACCATAAGAAGGAAGCTTGGCGAGGAGTCCGTGGTGCCAGACTCGATCGAATGCCTTGGAGATATCAAGTGCCACGGCTGAGGTTTCACCTTATTTTTCAATAGATTGCTGCCAGTTAGACGTAAGCGAGCAGGTCACCAGTTGATCTCTGATGACGAAGCCATATTGTCTATCGTTGATAATACCTGAATGTTCCAGGTATTTCATGAGCTCGATGTTGATAGCTTTCTCCATGATCTTTGAAATAATAGATAGCAGTGCGATCGGTCTGTAGTTGCTAGGTAGGGTCTTTTTGCCTTTTTCAGAAACTGGTTGTACTCTTGCAATTTTCCAGTTGGACGGGAATATCCCCAATTTGTAAAAGTAGTTAAACAACTTGCAGAGAACAGGTGTTAGTTCGGGAGCACATTTCTCAAGAACAATCGGTGGTATTCCGTCGGAGCCAAAAGCTTTGTTGGTGTTGAGACCCAATAAAATCTTCCTTATAGTACGTTGGCGATACTAAAATCAGTGTCGTAATGTTTCACATAATACATATTGGTAGTAGGTAAATACTATTCCGCACTAGTGCGGTGTTTAATCTCATAAGGAAACCCAAATCAGTGTCGTATGCTGATGTTTCACATTACATATAGGTAGTAGAGGTAAATTGATATTAAGTGTCCACTTAAAAGCCTGGATTGGCGCAGTGGAAGAGCGTCCGTCACACTACCGCAAGGTCGTGGGTTTGATTCCCAGCACGAGCAAGGGACTTTTTTCAATATTTTATTCACGAATTAAATTTTATGAAGTTTCGGAGCATCGGCTTGGGATAGTCCTGCACGATTCGCTGTTGCGTTCCAATTAACAGTGCTGCTCCTGAAGTGGCGCATGGAGTTAGTAACAAAGCCAACACAGAACACGCAGAAAGACATGATGATTTGGTCATGAGCATCAGAGAAGAAGTAGGACGGTGTATGTAGGTGGGAGTGGAAAAACTACCAGCTGAGTGTGAGAGCGGGCCAATGCTACTTAGTAGACCTCGGTCTTTAACGGAGGGTAACGAGGATAGCTAGCAGGCCTGCCACTGCGCATATGGTAAACACTTGGGGTTTGCGAAAAGGTCCCATTAGGAACTAGTTGCTGACGTGCAAACGTCCTCCAACAGTACCAGAGTACCAGAAGTGTCCACTTACCTCATGCAAAACATGTTGGCCAACTGAACGGTAGCTCTCGCAGCTATCAGGGCCTTTCTACCCCTCTCAATCGCTCTATCTTCTGATCTGTAAGCGATGTTCAGCCCGAAAGAGGGCGAACCGTTGCTGATGCCGACTCGTCCTTTGATGTTGTCCTCCAATCGCTCGGACATGTTTGTGGTGTGGTAAGCGAACGTCACCGCGCTTTCCAGGTCCTCTTTCTTTATTCCATAATTGGAGGTCGAACGTTCGCGGATATTCCCTGCGAGAATCGATACTTATAAACTTATAAAGGGTGAGTCAAAAATGTGTGTCTAGCTAAGATAAATCTTTCGAAAGTTGATAACATTTAAATAACCCTCTCCACACAACTTCTAAATCGACTTATAAATTTCATCGAAAGAAATGATATTCTGAGTGGAAACCAACATGGTTTCCGAGCGGGAAAATCAACTTCTACAGCGCTATTATCTTTGTTCAACACAGTCATTGAATCTATTGAGGCAGGCGAATGCCCTGCAGTTATATTTTGTGATCTAAGCAGGGCGTTCGACTGCGTCAATCACACAAAGCTACTATCGTCTCTCGAAAACTATGGTATAAGGGGGCGGTCCTCAAAATGGATATCTTCTTTTCTGAAAAATCGTAATCAATTTGTCTCGTTACAACATTCTGATGATAATGGAATGTCAAAAATTCACTCAGAATCTACTTCTACTGATATGGGTGTAACCCAAGGGTCCATTTTAGGACCAATACTATTTATATTATACGTCAATCAAATTGACTCTGTTCTTGATACAATGAAGTATACTGCTTATGCAGATGATTTCTCTTTGATTGTGCCTGCACCTGACTCGTTATCTATGATAGAAAAGTGTAGTGATACAGTAACCTTTGCATCAAACTACTTCAATAATTACGATTTATTTTTTAACGTTGATAAGACGCAAATTCTACGATTTCACCATCGCCAGAATGCTATTGAACCACTTCTATTTCCTTACAATAACCAGACTTTGAAGAACACCAGTGACCCCATAAAATATTTAGGCATTAACTTCGATGAGTGCCTTGACTGGAAACCACAATGTTCTCAGTTGATTTCGAAATTGTGCTCCCTAACATATCTTTTCATGAATCTACGTTTTGTGCTTGAAAAGAATCAGTTATTGACTTTATATCACGCTCAGGTGGATTCCAGACTGAGGTATGGTGTGTGTCTTTGGGGCCACTCCACAATGGCAAAAAATGTGTTTATCACCCAAAAACGTATTATTCGCTGTATAGGTGGGGTGTCAAAGAGGCAATCATGCAAGAATCTGTTTGTTCAGTATGACATTCTACCATTGCCATGCATTTTAATTTTCGAAACATGTGTATATGTATTTCAAAACAAACATAAATTCATAGTTAATAAAAATATTCACGATATCAATACTAGAAGTAAAAACTTATTTCATATACCATATGCCAAATATAAAATAACTCCTGTTGCTCCAAACCATATAGGACCAAAAATGTTTAACCATCTACCTGATGTTTTAAAAAATATTGTATCCATTTCCTTGTTCAAACGAAAACTAAGATGTTTCTTACTTGAAAAATGCTTTTATAGTGTAGGAGAATTTTTCTCCTCATGAGTCTTTTGACTTTGACATTGACTATTCCGATATAATACTTGTATTATCCGAAGGAAAATAAATGATTATTATTATTATTATTATTAATAAATAAAAAAAGGCTCTATCTACACGTCGTAAATTATATAGGGCGTTCCATTGGAAAAATCGAAGTTGATGTAATTTCTGGAAAAACCAATGACCCTGTATATGAAACAACTTCACGAAATGAAGTTTGGGTCTTTTGAAACAACTTTTTACCTCGACATTTTCTCATATCTCTGAAAACGAAAGAGTTAAGGGGGTATTCCATTCTAAGAGGCGCACCCTACACAATATACTACAGGGTAACTCACGGGCGATGGTACGTTAGACGTTTATGGAGAACGGGACATAGGATCGTTCTGAAATTTTGGTTACTCACGTAGTTGCTCTTGGTCTCTCGATCTTAAATATTTTCAGCCCTGCGGCGTTGCCGCCTCTATCGAAAAGTAGCAACAACTTAGTTATTTTAAATGGAATACCCTGTATTTTATTGCATTCTCAGATTCTCTCTGTGAAGATCTGATTTCATCGATGTATCACACTTGGGGTCTAGCGGAAATGATTACAGAGATATAGGGTGTGAAAAATCGTCATTTTTCAACTTTTGGATTTTTTTTGTCGAAACTATTCATTATTAGTCAAAACGGCTCAAATGTCCCTGTCTCAACTTTCAATCAACTATCTACTGACATTTAATTGAAACAAATAATACAGGGTGGTGCAGAATTCAGAATCTTGATCACCCGGTATATGTCCCAATTAAATATCAGTAGATAGTTAATCAAAAGTCGAGACAGGGACATGTGAGCCGTTTCGACAAAAAAAATTACTAAAGTTGAAAAATGTCGATGTTTCACAATCTATATCTCTGTAATAATTGCCGCTAGACCCCAAGTGTGATACATCGATGAAATCAACTCTTCAGAGAGAATCTGAAAATGCAATAAGATACAGGGTGTTCTATTTAAAATAACGAAGTTGTTGCTACTTTTCGATAGAAGCGGCAACGCTGCAGAGCTGAAAATATTTTAGATCGATAGAACAAAAGCAATTACGTGAGTAACCAAAATTTCAGAATGATCCTATGTCTCGTTCTCCATAAACGTCTAACGTACCATCGACCGTGAGAGACCCTGTATATACATATATATGGTAAAACTAGGTTCATTGAGGTGAGGTATGCAGCAAAGTGAAAAGGGTACTCTCAAGTTTGTCAAAGCTTTCGGAATATTGTATTTTCATCAACAGGGAACTACAACAATATATGATTAAGTAATATTGATTCTGCAATGAAGTTTTACTCACATCTTTGGTGAGGTTGTTTTACATGAATGTTAGTAATGATAAAATTGTACAGGACGATAATGACATAGTTGAGAAGGCGAACAAAAAACTATGGAGTTTTCACTTCATTTTTAAATTTGAATGGTGACTGTGCATTTCGTATAGAGATTGACAATAAGCTAATTAATCTGGGTCCTATAGGTAAGTAGAGTTTATCGGACCTTCATGTTTTTTCACTGCGGATAAGTTATTTGTATTCCTTGCATCTATTAGGATCATGATTTTCCGATTCAAAAGTAATGCTTCCTTCTATTATATTTTGAAGAATATTGGTACTCAAACGATAGTATATTACACACCGAGGTGGGAAGAGATTCATTCCTGTCGTGAGAAGAGGCATGTAATGTGACACTTCCCAACCTTCAATAATGACGTTAGTAATGCCAAAATCACACATTTGGTTGTGAATAAAATAAGTGTCGCTGGTCGAATAATTTTGTTTCTCTGAATAGATCATCACCAGAGTAAGTACGAGCTTTTCGAAAACTTCTATTGATTAAAAATTGTCACGATAGGAACCAAAGATATTTCATTATATGTAGCTACTATATTCGAAATTATATTGATTCAAGAAAAGATTTCATTGATAAAGTTTATTATTTATTTCATCCTATAACATTCGATTAAGGGGGAAATTCTATAACGCTTAACGACATCGTTAGCGAACGATTGTTAATCGTTACGGAACGATATTTGCTATTCTGTAGCTAACGATTGTCGCACCTGTACGACATTACTTATCGTTTGTAGACGACGTCGGCTGAGGTGTCTTTGGAGCCATTTTTTTGTCGTTACGTGAAGGAGACATAAAAAATATAGAAATTGGCAGAGAGTGCTGAATGTGGAAAGATAATTGTATTACCATGTCCCCAGATTTTTCTCAAATGACATCGATACTGAATAAGCTTCTAGAACTTATCGTTAAAAATGTCGTTGGTCAATGTATCGTTAAGGTTAACGATATCGTATTCTAACGATTAGTTACTGAATAGACCCCTAAAGGAAACGCGTGTGTTTCACTCACGTTGGCAGCTCAGTCAACAGGAATGAAATACTCTCATATTATGGACTAAAACGCTGACTTCGTCAAAATATCAGCCGATAAGGCAGAGCACAGTTTGGATCTGATCAGCCAGCACTCACTATGGTTCATCCCCTGCGTCTTCTATATAGAGATAATTTTGTAAGTACTAACGTATATATCTTCATAGTACCAAGTTATGAAATGATTTTCTGTTTTGCGAAGTCTGATGTACGTTTGTTTTGCGCCTCGTTTATCTAAACCACTAATGAAACTATTTTTTTCTACAAATGTCAAAAAAGGTTCGCACATTGATGACAAATTGCGACGTGACACTCTTTTTCAGTTCCCTACGTTACCATAATACCTTGCACAAAACAATGCGCTAAGTAAAACAGTGCGCGAAGTACCCACTTCGCGCATTGTTATGTGAAATATATGAGATATTTATATTTCACCTTTATGATCCTCAATCGAGCAAGCATCCACGAAATCATTCATTTCTGAATGTTCAACAATAACTTTGTCTCATCTCTTGGAGCGCGAAATTCCTATTATGTTCGTGGAACATCGTGTTTACCTAGGGAGAATAGGGAGAGGGCTTTCAAGCCAGTACAATACTATTTTTTATATCAAGCTAAGCATAATTTTTTTAGAACTGTATATTTTTACGTTTGTTTGTAAAAAAAAGTTGTTTGCAACTCGAGCGCGAAATACTTTGGTCATCTCGAATCTCGACTATTTTATTGACTCGGCTACGCCTTGTTAAAAAAATCAGATCTCGATCACCAAAGTAGCATTTCGCGCTCTAGATACAAAAATAACTATTTTTAAATAAATTGTAGCTGTATGACGAATAACTATTTTCATTTCTCGGCCTCCTAAGCGATTCCACCCCCGAGTCACCACCCTGTAGCCATAGATCGTGAGAATATCTTTGTACGACATTAAGATTTATACAGGGTGTCCGCTAAAAAGAGGTCAATCCATTAACCATTTATTCCTTGAACAAAAACAATATGAGTTTCTAAATACCATTTTTCATTTTAGCCCTTCATATTCAATATACAGGGTGTCAAAGTTGGAAATCAAAAACTGTTTTTTTTTAATTACTCGCTCATTCAATGAGATATCAATCTCAAAATTGGTATATTATTTCAGCACAAAGAGTTACATCGTGTGAGGAGAACAAAGTAGAAAATAACTGTCGAATATTCGAAATACTGGGGGTCAAGTACACACTTACTCCCAAATTTTAGTTGTACAAGCGCTAATGACTTCCATTCTATTTTTCTTCAGGTGTTCAATCCTTTTTGAGTATTTTTTGTGTCTTGTAAAATTTCGATAAAATTATTTGTTTTTAAGATAATTCGAAAAGTACTGGTTATTGTTTGATACCTATGTGGCTTACGGTAATCTCATAATGTTCACATTCTCCTATTTATTTCGTCGAAATTGGAAGTATTTTTTGGAAATTGGTGTATTTTTTTACGTACGAGAAGGTAAATATGGAAATACCGGGTGCTCAGAGCGAATGTATTAAAATTATTTTTACGAAAAAACAATAAAAAAAAGTGAGGACTGGTGTGGAATAATTTTTTTGCCAATCGAACGGCGTGAAATTTTTTTTACGGGGTCTAATAAAAAAAACGTTTTTTGGAATTTCGGGTAAATGATGATTTTAGGAGGATGGGGGGGGGATGTCGATTGACAAGCCCACCCTTTTGAAGGATTATAAATTTTTTTTAAAATTTCTTAAAATCGGTTTGAGCGGTTCTGGGTGGAGCGGAATTTTTAAAAAATATTTTCGAGCCTCTTCCCCACCCTATGGTATGTCAAGCGCCAACGAACGGGAAGTAAAATCGGAAAAAATTAAAAAATATATATTTTCGGAAGTTTTTGGTGAAATTATGATATTCATGATTTTAACAGATACTTGATGAAAGAAATTGCAGATCAGGATTGTCTATGGATGTATGAAAAATTTTGTGCATAAGCCACATATCTTTCAAAGGCTAAGGTTTTCTTTAATCAAAAGGGCTCACATGTGTATTCAAAAAATTCATATCCAGCAATTTATTTTTAGATGTGTTGAATTTCTATCAATTTTTTTTTTAGTGAAAATCATTTTAATACATTCACTCTGTGCACCCATATTTACCTTCTGGTACGTAAAGAGAATACTCCCTCTTCCAATTTCAACGAAATAAATAGGAGTATGTGAACATTATGAGATTACCATGAGCCCCATAGGCATCAAACAATAACCAGTACTTTTCGCATTATCTTAAAAACAAATAATTTTATCGAAATTTTACAAGAGACAAAAAATACTCAAAAAGGATTGAACACTTGAAGAAAAATAGAAAGGAAGTCATTAGCGCACATACAAAAAAAATATGGGGGTAGGTGTGTACTTGACCCCCAGTATTTTGAATATTTGACAGCTATTTCCTGTTTTGTGTTACTCACATGATGTAACTCTTTGTGTTGAGGTGATGTACCAATTTTGAAATTGATATCTTATTAAATACGAGAGTAATTAGAAAAAAACAGTTTTTAATTTCCAACTTTGACACCCTGTATATGGAATATGAATGGCTACAATGAAAAATGGTTTTTAGAAACTCATATTGTTTTTGTTTAAGGAATATATGGTTAATGGATTGACCTCCTTTCAGCGGACACCCTGTATATAAATAATATAAATAAAATGATTACCTCTACGACCAGTCGTGGGTGATAATATTCCGGCACTGGTTATGAAGGGCAGCAAACAGGTGGCACTGGTTATGAAGGGCAGCAAACAGGTGATGAACAACGGAAAATTCATTTTGGAAAAGGTTCTCCACTGCATTCTGAAAAATGGTTATTTTTCGTATACGATATATCATCATATATCAACTAAAATTATTTCTCGTATGATTTTCATCCAATCTCGCTAGCGTATACAAGGTGTTACATTACTAATTGGAAATATATCAACTATACTGGGTGTTTCAGATTTAAATGTACATACGCTACTTGTAGATAGAGGAATGTGTCTACCGTCTTTTATAACTGATATACAGGACGTAATCTTGATTTTTTCGAAATCTTCATCTGGTCATAGCTTTTAAATCACTTTGTATAATATATCCATACGAGGTTAGGAATGTTTCAACTATACTACCCATCAAAACGAAATGAAAATCAGGATCAGAATCCAGGTCCGTCTTGAGGGAAAACAGAAAACTTCTTTTTTTCAAAAAACAACATCCTGTGATGCAAATTTTGTATTTTTTTCATGTTGTGGTTCCCACGAGGAGGGATATCCTGTAATGTTCAGAGAACATCGTGAGAACCAAGGTAAATAAGGTAGAAATTGGTGTTCTTGAATTTCTGGAGGTTATATGCCTCGGGGAACACTTCCCTTGGCAATGTGTTCCAGAGCCTCGCTGTTCGTTGGATGAACGAGTCTTTGAAAAGGGATGTTCTGCAGGTCCCCAAAGTGGCTACGAAGAGGTGCGAAGCCTCAACTCGACGGGTTGATCTCGCGGGGACTGCCAAGGGAGGAAAAATTGTTGATATTCCAAGAGAGCATCGTCCATGAAAATATCTTGAGAATAGAGCCAGATCGCCAACTTTTCTACGGTGTTCCAGAGAAGTGAGTGAGTTTGTGAGCGAGGCCCACCCACGAGACGAATTTTTTTGACAGAATCCAACAGTTTCAGGGTATGTTTGGGTGCTGCACTCCAAATATGGAAACAGTATTCTAGGACAGGTCAGATCTGTGCCTTATAGATCATAAGCAGCTGACTGGAAGTGAAATAGCTCCTGGCCCGAAACAGAAAACCAAGTCTTTGGGATGCACTTTTAGCAATTGATCTCACTTGGTTTTCTTGAGAAAGTTTACTTCTGATAGTAATACCAAGCATCGAAATGGATGTCTTCAAAGGTGTGATTACTCCTGCCAAGCTTATGTTGGGCACAGTAGATCTGTCTTGATATTTGGAAACATCAGGGAAAAACGAATAAAGTGATCTATGGTCAATTGGATTGCACTGATCTTATAATTATATCGCCGCCAGGGAAGCATGCTGACTCCAATATATTCCACGGGAAGTAATATTTTTAAGCAAACTCCTATTAGGAAATACAGTTGACGCTTCCTAAAATACACCTGGAAATGAAAAGCGTCAATTGTATTTCAGAAAACGTCAATTGAATTTCAAATGATATTTTCTGAAATACAAATGTAACTTTCTCAAATTCAATTAAAAGAAAGAAAGAATGTTGATCATCTATTCGGATTAAGTATACATTACACAGATATAGTACAATGCACCTTCCTATCAGACTAGTCAGTTCACAAAAAAACAAAAACAAAACGGACAAACAACGAACAATGACATGCTATAGAATAATAATAATATCTTAAAGGACACACATTTTCTTTAAAATTCAAGGAATTCCTCAAAAATATAAAATGCATTATTGAAAAAAATTAGTTCACATTCATCATAATTATTATCCATTATAAATGGATACAAAAAACGAAAAGTCATTTCCACACAATGTTCATAAAATAAACAACAATGGTAGATTTCAGGAGAGAAAGAACTACTTTCCTGGCTAATGCCACGCAGAATGTTGAATTAGATACTGATACAAGTGATCCTTTCTTGAATGCCTATTGTTTTAGATTTAGCCAGGCCACTCTAGACACATACAGACCGGTTTCGAGCTCTTTGACTCTCATCAGCGCAGGGCAGTCTTCAGCCAGCAGTCCCATAACACACTTATGTCCCATGGATATCCTTAGGACGTCCTGTCGAGACATTCAGGACGTCCATAGGATGTCCCAGGGGCGTACGAATTATTCTTGAATTTGAATTTGTCTGGGTCCCTTCAGGACCTGATCTTGCATAACTGATTAGGACATTCACTTGAGTTGATGGTCCGTAGAAGGTCCCCAAAAAGTTTCCCAAGGATTTCCAATGGACTTACGTGAAGAACATTGACGAGGGGTGTACTAATAGCCTACGAGCAATCATTCGTCGGCGAGGTGTAAGTTAACGTCCTCACAGGGACAACATTTTGAAAGTACCGACTCGGACGTCCATAGGACGTTATTTCTAGGACATTGGAAGAGTACAGTTTATGTACCTATTGGGACATCCGACTGACATTCGAAGGACGTCCCTAAGGGACCTTTCGATTGTTATACGATCCTGGAAATATTAAGGGCGCCTGTGCAGAGATATTTGAAGGAATGTACCATAAGGAACATTTCATGATTGTCTAGAAGGGACATTATATAAGATCTGGATTCTGAAGTCATGCCAGTATATGTACTACTCGGGACATCCGATGGGTGTCCCTGAAGGAACGTATAAAATCATATCCCATCAGGGACATGCCAAGGACGTCCTTGCGTGGACATTCTACAATATGTACCACGTGGGATGTCTAAGGGATGCTATTTCTAGGACATTCGAAATGATGTACCAGCTGGGTCATCCCGTGGACGTCCTTGCTCGGACATTGCGAGAGATGTACGGGATGGGACGTCCCAAGGACACTTATTTTTCGTCCGGGACATTCGGACGTGAATTGTACCAAATAGGGACGTCCCTAGGACGTTGTGTGCTATTAGGGGTCCTAAGACCGCCGACTAAGCGTAGCCTAACCAAACGATGAATACATTTCGGAAGGATGTAATTCGATGTTCTGCGTGGCATTAGCCAAGAAAGTAGTTGTTTTTCTCTCCCGAAATTCACTATTGTTGTTCAGTTTATGAACATTGTGTGGAATTGACTTTGAGCTTCTTGTATTTATTTAACATTTCATTCCACTCTGAGCATTGTGGCTATTTCGTAGTTGAAATTACGCCAGTCGGGCAACCAGCCACTCCCGTATGGGAATTTTGATTTTGGAGTGTTTCTTTCCTTCTATTCTACTCAGATGGCGTTGCTCTGAGGGAATATAATCCCGACTTTTCGTTTGTTTGGCTAGGCTACGCTTAGTAGGTGGTCTTATGACTGCTGACTTGAGAGTCAAAGAGCTCGGAACCGGTCTGTAGGTGTCTAGCGTGGCCTGGCTACATCGAAATCAATAGGCATTCAGGAAAGAATTACTGTCAGTATTCCTTTATACATATACGAGTCGATGCATAGATTTTGGAAGGATGTAATTCAATATTCTTCGTGGTATTAGCCAGGAAAGTAGTTGTTTTTCTCCCAAAAACTACCATTGTTGTTCATCTTATGAACATTATTGTGTGGAAATGACTTTGAGCTTTATATATTCGTTTAACATTTCATTTCACTTTGAGCATTGTGACTATTTCGTAGTTGATCATCCATTATGTTACTGATCTTATTGGCACTTAATTGAATTGACTATTCTGGAATACAATTGGCGTATTCTGGAATTCAATTGACGCATTCTTGAATATAAGTGACTATTATGAAATACAATTGGAGCTTTATGAAATTCAATTTACTATTCTGAAATACAATTGATGCTTCCTGATATAAAAGTGATTATTCTGTAATATAATGGGCAAGTGGAGACTGATAATGAATCATTGGCATTCAATCACTTCACTGTGTCGTTAGGAACCTAAATGAATGTCTTCAACACTCCTCACGCTTTTTTATATGAATAATGACTCAATGCGTTGTTCGAAATTGTTGAATTTAAGAGCTCATTTCAAACGAACCTTCATGGCCGCCATTTGGCGATAGGTCGAATGAATGGTGGCGTCAGTTTTTATAATTTTTCGTTATTGGTCAGAATCTACTACATGGCTGGCAAAGTGAAATTTGAAGTTTGGTTTTTGAAACCCACCTCTAGAAAATTGCATTATTTTAGTTTTCTTAAGGAATAAAACATAATAGGAGGAACCCATCATGAAGTTTTAGTTTATTCTCGACTTTTTCGAGCAACCAGCATGTCCAAATATTCCTTATTCTCCATAACAAAATATCAAGCGAATGTGGAAGACTTGGCAACATTGTGCTGAATGCTGAGAATTGACAAGACCACGCCCACAAGTCGTGCGCCGTGGTTGTCACGTTCACCGATACAAATGTCCTCTAGTGTGAATTAATATTATTATTATTTACACAAATGTATGATAAGCAATATGCCACAAATCATAAGGGAACATTTTGAGACAATTGAATTTGTATCGCTAGTTGGGAGTATTACCAATACTCAATTGAGAATTTATGAATTATCGAATAACTTATATTTCTGTGAAGTTCCCAATCGCATTTCAACATATGGCAACTGTGCTATGGTCTGCCCCTACTTACGACATGGTGACGTCAGTTTTCACTGGCGGTGAATTTCTATCCGTTTGAGAATTGCAGTGGCATTACTGATGATTTTAGCACGCAAAAATCGACCGAAAAATACTCACAAAATATGGAATTGAAATGTATATGAGTGATGATTCTATTTAAGAAAATATATTTTTTTGTGTATGGATTAGGTTTCATCATGCATCCAAAAACAAATGCACCCAGATGACAGGAGTATATGTCAATAAATCATAATTCTCAGATGTCAGTTCGTTATAGTTTTAGTTATATTATAAGGGAGATGAAAATTGTGTATATCATGAAGCATGGCTGAATGAATAACTGGACTTCAGGTTACTGATGCGGATTTGATATCCGAAATGAGTTTATTCGAGTGAAATCATATATTCTATTTGTGAGAGATATAATTCCCATATCACTTATACATATCAATCAACGCTTATACGAATAATTTTTTGGGAAGTTCCAAGCTCATCAAGAACAGAGTTTATACAAGTATACTTCTATACATGTCAATTTTTATTTCAATGCTGAACATATTGGTA